TTTTTTTTTTTTTTTTTTTTTTTTTTTCTTTTTGAGAAAAGGTTTCTCTACATAGCCCTGGCTCTCCTGGCACATACTATATACCAATCTAGCTTCAAATTCACAGAGATCCAACTGTCTCTGCTTTCCAAGTCCTGGGATTAAAAACCACTATATCAGGATGACTTTCTTTTTGTGTGTGGACTCTTTTATATATAATTTAATTAATTTTATTTTATGTGCATTAGTGTGAAGGTATCAGATCCCTTGGAATTGGCATTACAGACAGTTGTGAGCCACCATGTGGGTGCTGGGAATTGAACCTGGGTCCCTTGGAAGAGCAGACAGTGCTTTTAACCACTGAGTCATGTCCCCAGTGACTTTCTTTTTTTTTTTTAAGAGAGTTGGTCCTGTGATTGGCTGGGCTATTATTCATGGTAGGAGCCATATCTTGGCTCCCTTGCTGAGAACCCATTTAACTGTCATCCTCACATGACTCATTTTTCTCCAGGTACCTGGGTGTCATGGAAGGGCTGCTGACAAGATGCAGAACACTGTCTGCCTTGGCTACCTGCAGCCGCCAGCACTTCAGGTACATCATCCGCAAGTGTTACCACTGTGCACCAAGAAGAGGGCATCGCTTGGCACTATCCCGCATGTTCCAGCCACAGAACCTCCGGGAAGACCAAGTGCTTTCTGTGGAGGGCAGAGCCAGCAACTTGACCTGTAAGAGTCAGTGGCTGATGCTGCAAGTGGGCCTGATCCTCCCAGCAAGCCCTGGCTGTTACCATCTCATGCCCTACACAGTCCGTGCCATGGAGAAGCTTGTACGGGTGATAGACCAGGAGATGCAGGCTGTTGGGGGCCAGAAAATCAATATGCCCAGCCTCAGCCCAGCCGAGCTGTGGCGAGCCACCAGCCGTTGGGACCTGATGGGCAGGGAGCTGCTGAGACTGAGGGACAGGCACGGCAAAGAATACTGCTTAGGACCAACTCATGAGGAAGCAGTTACAGCCCTGGTTGCCTCCCAGAAGCAACTGTCCTATAAGCAGCTTCCCTTACTGCTCTACCAGGTTACCAGAAAGTTTCGGGATGAGCCAAGGCCCCGTTTCGGTCTTCTCCGTGGCCGGGAGTTCTATATGAAGGACATGTACACCTTTGACTCCTCCCCTGAGGCTGCTCAGGAGACCTATGGCCTAGTGTGTGATGCCTACTGTAGGCTTTTTGACAGGCTGGGGTTGCAATGGTTGAAGGCCAGGGCAGATGTGGGCAGCATTGGGGGCACAATGTCCCACGAATTCCAGCTACCAGTGGACATTGGAGAGGACCGGCTTGTCGTCTGCCCCAGCTGCCACTTTGCAGCCAACACAGAGACGCTAGACTTGTCACAAAAAATCTGTCCTGACTGCCAGGGTCCACTGACAGAAACCAAAGGCATTGAGGTGGGCCACACATTCTACCTCGGTACCAAGTACTCCTCCATTTTCAATGCCCAGTTTACCAGTGCCAACGGGAAACCCTCACCGGCTGAAATGGGGTGCTACGGCCTGGGAGTCACTCGGATCCTGGCTGCTGCCATCGAAGTTCTGTCTACAGAAGACTGCATCCGCTGGCCCAGCCTCCTGGCGCCTTACCAAGTCTGCCTCATCCCCCCGAAGAAGGGCAGTAAGGAGGCGGCAGCCACAGAGCTTGTGGAACACTTATATGACGACATCACAGAGGCAGTGGCTCAGCTCCGAGGGGAGGTCCTGCTGGATGACAGGACTCACCTGACCATCGGAAACAGACTGAAAGATGCCAACAAGCTTGGCTACCCCTTTGTGATCGTTGCCGGCAAGAGGGCCCTGGAGGACCCTGCACACTTTGAGGTTTGGTGTCAGAACACGGGTGAGGTGGTCTTCCTCACCAAAGAGGGAGTCATGGAACTACTGACTGCTGTCCCTGTTGTCTGAGTGCCCAGTCACACCTGTCCTTGGGGTCTGCTGTAATGCCATAGTTCCCACCACTCCTCTCTTGGCTGGTCGCTCCAGAAGTGGCTTCTCGTGGAAGGTGAGACCACATTAGGGAAATGTATACTTACTCCTCGCTTGTGATGGTTTTTACTTGTCATTAACTTGATCCTCACCTGGGCTGGCCATGCTACCATACACCATTCCTTTTGCATGTAGACTCTTGTGTTAGGAGACTGAAAGATGAGAAAGAGACCTGAGACCTGGGAGACCTCAGCTCCCTCGAGCTGAGCTTCTAGGTGTAGGATGGGAATGGTTGAAAGCTGGGGCCATGCTTCCCCAGCCCCATCCCATAGTCTGACCACATGCCTTGCACTCCACTCAGTATAGAGAGCAGGGCTACCCGCTCTTCTCCGCTGAGAAGCCACGAGCTCCGGAGAAGCAGGAAGCAGCTTGCTGCTAAGTCACTGGTGACTTGACGCCTGCTCCCCTGCTGGGCCTGGGATTCCTGTTTGGACATGGAGACGAGTCAGGTCTACAAGGTCCTTAGAGCGCTCAGAGTGGCTCCACTAGACACATGGCTCTGGCTCCTCATTCCTCTGGCTTCCCCAAAAGCAGCCATACCTGCCCGATGGCCCAGAACTACCTCCAGAGACTTGACCCTGCTGGGTCACTTCCGCACTGAGATCATGTTCCATTGACTGAATAAAGGCAAGCCTTTTGATGAGCTTTTCTGTCTGTTGATTTGAAACAAAAATAGCATCTCCTGTTTGAGCAGTACACCCAGTAGCTTGCTGCCTCCGCTGCACTCACCGGGGAGTGGCAGGGACCGGCTTTAAATGGTTTCTTCAGGACTCCTGGAGCAGCAGGCCCCAGCCATACACTCACCTTGTCCTGGGCGCAGAGCTGAATTCCTGAGCTGCACAGGAGTGACTGAGAGCTGACGGTTCTGTGGGAAACCGCAGCAGTGCCTGCTCCAGCATCCAGATGAGGAGCGTGGAAATGGCTTTCCATCCCGGCCCCTGTGACCTCCACATGTGCTGCCCAGTCCACGGAACAGTGCCGTATTCCTGGTGGGTCTTCCCCTCCTTGGTTAACACTCTCTGGGAAGGCTCTGATGGGCACATCAGGGGTGAGCCTCACAACACTAGGTGACCCTAAATCGAGCCAACTTGCCAAGGAAGGTAAATCACCGAAAGGGCTCAGGGCTCCAAAGCAGACCCTGGGAGCCACTGGGCTTTGGCAGATAGACGCACTGGGAACTATGGTGTGTGTTTTAGGGTAGGGGTTCTGTAGAGTAGCAGCAGCTGGACAGAGAGGAAATGGAGAGAGCCGCTGAGCACCTGCATTCCCCTTAGCACTCTGGCCAGCTATCAACTGAACAGCCACCTCCAGCCACATGCTCCTGCAACCATGCAGTCATGCCCAAGCACGTGGGTGTGTGTGACTATGAACCAAACCCTCTGAAATCCAAATACTCCTGATTTAGGTTGTTTCTTCGGCGTATTTTGGTCACAGTGACATGAGAAGCAAGCAGCCTTTGTCATACTTGGGGTTCTAAGAGCAAGCTCAGGTCGGGTTGCACAGCTGAGGCTTTTACTGCACATTGGGATCCCTACCCTTTCGGAGCTTCTAGTTCCAGTGGGGCTCTGGCCTAGGACCACACAGGTGAAGGCCTCCAAAAGACTCTGGTTGCAATCAGAATCAAGAGCTACTGGAGTAGGATCATCTACCCCTGAAACCCACACCGTAGCTGGTTATTTCTCTGAGTGATTTCAGTGGGCATCAGGCCGATGGCAGCCCTCTCTGCCTTTAGTGGCCTGGTTTACTGAGGGCCTGCCTCACACCACTGCTGTGTGGCACCTTCGCACGCTGCTTCCAGACCTTAACACTGCAAGGTCAGTGCTGTTACATTTTACAGGTGAGGAACCTGAGGCCCAGGGACGCATGGCTATGGAGGACCACACCTAGAACTCACATGCTGGCCCTAAGCTGTGCCTTTCTACGTTGCTTGCCTTCTGCCCAAGGAAAGTGGTTTCAATAAGGAAAACTAGATCTAATTAGCCTTGTGAGAAATTCAAATTCATGCCTCGGTTGGTAGAGTCCTTGCTATCAGGCATGGAGTCCTGCCATGGATCCTCAGCACCGCGTAAACCAGGACAGTGTTGTAGTATCTGCAGTCCCAAAATATGGAAGCAGAAGGGTCGGAGGTTTAAGGTCATTCTTTGCTACATAGCAAATCTGAGACCAGTCTGGGACCCTTGCCTCAAACAAAAACTGCTAGACACAAGCACTTTATTTATTCCTTCTGGTGCAGGAAATGAACCAAGGGGCTTGCCCACATGCCGGACAGTGTCCCACTGAGCTGCAGTCCACACATCTTCAGCTTCATTTTTCAGATAGGGTCTCTCGATGCAGCGGGCCAGGCTTCACAACCGTGCCCCAGCCTTCCAAGGACTGGTATTACAAGAATGCGCCCCTAAGCCTAGCTTTAATTTCTTTTTTTATTTTCTTGCAAATGTTCTGTAAACTTATTTAAGGAAAGCTAGCCTAAAGGCACGTTAAAAGCCGGATTCCAAGACTAGGGAGGGCCAGTTAATCTTCGACTTTCCATAGATGTGCACGTTGAATAGGATGGTGCGGAATCCCAGGGACCCCACATTTGGGGACAGGGGAACTTCTTTAGCACTTGGTTCACAGGTGAAAAACAGCCTGGAGTAGGGACAGAGTGACTCCTGCCATCTGACTGGCAAGCGGCAGGCCAGCCACTGAGCTACCAAAGCCTCATAGGCTGCTGAAACAGGTACCCATGTTCTGTCTTCCAACAAGGAGTTAAACACAAAGCACAGTACCAACCTGGACCAGGCTTGAGTATTAGACATTGGGATCATGGGATCACACAGCTAGTGTTGTGGTGCCAATATGATTTGGTGAGCAGACAGAGATCTAAAGAGGCATAATCCTAAACTGAGCACTTTCTGGGGTTGTGAGCCAAGACAAATTGTCCTTCGCACACCTCTTTCTTCTTGGTACGATGCTCAGAGGAATGTAAGGCAATATGGGGTTGCAGAGACACCTGTGTGAAATACTAATTTTTAAGCCAGGTGTGGTGGCATACACCTGTAATCCCAGCACTCTGGGAGGCAGAGGCAGGTGGATCTGAGTTCAAAGCCAGCCTGGTCTACAAAGTGAGTCCAGGACAGCCAAGGCTACACAGAGAAGCCCTGTCTCAAGGAGAGAGAGACTAACTTTTAGAGTGCATTCAAGAAACCCTTCTCTTCCTCCTGAGGATGCATTTGCACAATTTAGGAAATCCCCAGGAGGCTTGGCTCTGCCACTAACATTATCCTTAGACCTGGATCTTGTCCTTGGGAAAATGCTTTATAACCTTCCTGGGACAGTCAAGCAAGCGGTATACCAGAATGCCTCACCTTGGAACATTCAAACCACACCCCTTCCTCATTTCTGAACCCAGGGAGCTTACCTCTTGCCATAAACAGGTGAACTGGGGATGTTGGCTGGCTAATTCAGTGCAGGCTGAAATATCACTTACTTGCTCATTCCTTGGAGAGGTCTAAAGGCAACTGGCTGGGAAACAGCTGAATTAATACTTAGGGAGAACGGCTGGTATATAACCATCATGTAAATCAGCCTAGAATGTGAATCGGGCCTCCGTTAATATTCTCTGTTTCAATGGAACAAGTACCTGCTGAGCCATCAATAAAGGAATTTTGCAGAAATACGTTGAAATTGCACCTTAACTGCCTGGCTACCAACCTCTTCAGAGTTCCTGCAGCCCATTCCTATATTAAGATGCCAGTGTGTTTTAGTGGATTGTTGGGCTTTGTTTTATTGGGGAAAGAATGGGAAGATAATTTTAGGTGTTACTGCAAACTTACTATAAAAGGTACTTAACTTAAAACAATGGTTTTCTTTGTAGCGTGAGAGCCCAGGCTAGATTAAGAATGCATGGGCTACTTACTTGAGTAGGACTCTGAAGGGCACTTCCTTAGAGTCTCCGTAACTCAACTTACTTATAGGTGAAATGGGGACAGACTTGGGCCACTGCAGGCACTGGTAAGTGGCAGCCACCCTGACATTAGGTGATCCTTTGCATGTGGGTTGCAGGGGACACACCGTGGGCCAGCAGAAGGGGGCAGCATGCTTATGCTTCCCACGTTCAGACAGAATCCTCGTGCAGGGGCCGTGCCCCAGTTGTCAAGCCAGTAGCTTGCCAGGCTGCCAACAAACTGCCGGGGTTGAGCTTTGTTGCCCTTGGCTAATCAACACTGCAGGGCCAGCAAGGTACAGGGAGGGCACACCCCGGTGTGTGCCAGTGCTTCCCCTTTGCAAGAGCAGATGCTTTTGCTGGGGTTCTCAGAAACAGGCTGAAGCCGGGCATGGTTGTGCTTTTTGTAGAAGTAAAAAGTGTAATTCAAAACACATGAAGAACAGGTTAGTAGTTACCAAAGTCTGGAAATGGTGTCAAAGGGTGGTGGGGAGGAGGAGAATGGAGAGGACGACTGAGGAACAGGGGGAATCACTTTGAAGTTCTATAGCACAGTAGGACAACTGAAGTTGACAACAGGTTGCTATTTTCAAAGGGCCGGTAGAGAGGATTTTTCAGTGTTTGCAATAGAGAGAGAGACGGTGCATGTGTGGCCATTCCACAGTAAATACGCACACAGAAGTGGCCACACTGCGCTAAGGGTGTCTAATTACTATGTGCCGATTTCAGTGTCAGAAACACTTTTAGAAAATGCTGTACGCCTTAAAACAAGATTGTCTGGATGTGCACTGTCTAATGACACAAATCCGTAAAGGCAGAGGATTTTCTCGGCCTCGAGTCGGATGTGGCAAGGGAGCCCCAGGCCTGAGATGCAGAAGGTGATAAGCCCTGAGCACTTAGTTACAGACACCCAGGGCCCAGAGAGAGCACCCCCTAGGGGCTCATAAGGCATGGGGTGCCTCAGTTCTACAACCTCAGCGAACTGTAGTCTCCCAACCGCCCCAAAGCCTTGATGCAGGTTCTCAGAATCCCCAGGAAGAGCCTAGAAGGCTGACATTTTTACCTCAGCCTTTTAAATCCTGGCGCAGAGAACAGCAGAGCCAATGCACATTTCTGGCCACAGAACTGTGAGGTAATAAATCTGTGCTGCTAAAGGAAACCGAATGGAATAAAAAGTCATAGAAGAAAACTCAGTGGAAGCCCCACTGACAGAGGTCTGTGGCTGCAGGCTCTGGCTGGAGCTTCTGAAGAGAACAGTCTCCTAAGTGGGTTGGGAATCCTGCACGGCTCCGTGACTGCCAGCACTGTACCATAAGCTTGGAGTTAATGGTGCCTCTGGGCCCACAGCAAACCTGGAGGCAGGCCCAGTCTTGGCAGTCCTGCTTCCTCTGGAGGGCTCAGGAAGGTCCTGAGTTCAAGTCCTGTTCCACTTCATTGTTCCAAGTTCACTAGTTGACTTTGGGCAGGTTGCTCAAGCTCTGCATGCCACCTTTTTACACTACCCACGGCCTAGAGGTGTGGGAGCCGGTCTACACCACACACCTACAGTGCTGCTGGCCTGGCCCAGGCGCTCAGTCCTGGCTGCTCTTTCTCTACTCAGGTTGCTCTCCAGCATATGCTACCTCAAGCATCTGTAGCTTTGCTCAAACTGTCTCCCACAGTCCTTCAACTTAGGGCCAAGTCCCCCACAGGTGCTGGCTTCTACCTCTGACCTGTTCACGAGTCACCCTTTCTTGAGGTCCCAAGCCCGTGACTGTTTGTGGATTGCTGAGATGCTGAGCGGGTGCAGTGCCAGGCCCTGGCATTACAAACGTACAGCTTGGGCCCTAGAGGCAGTGCACAAAGTAGGATAAACCAGCAGGTAAGTTAGTACTGTGCCTTGTGTGAAGGGCAGTGATGGTGCACAGCAACAGACTACAGGCCTAAGGAGCCAGGGAAGCCTGCCTGGAGGAGGCACTAGGCAGCTTACAGGCTAGACACCAGGAATGGGAGGAACAGTAGTCCAGGAAAAGGGAACAGAATGTGCAAATGCCTGAAGCTGAGAGCACTGGAAGGTTGGGGGATAAAGAGTCACAGATCAAACACTTGCTATGAGGCAAGTTGTGGTCCATGGGCTTCACTGGGTTAACTTGTTCAATCCTCACAGTATGTAGCATATAAAGAAAATGAAGAACTGACAAGTTGGGCCAAGTGGTACCCAAGGCCCACCACTGGAGTGTGTGAGGCTAGAAGTAGGAAATGGGCAGCCTGGCTCCGGAGCAGAGGGCCTTGGCTACTGCTCCACTTGCTGCATAGCTGGACTGTGACCAGGACACACTGCCTTTGGAGACTGCAGAAAGGAAAGCAAGCCACACCAGTGTGAGAGCGGAGCTCCTAAAGGGCCCTGACAGCCAGAGTGCTGAGGGAAGCGAGAGGCTCTGAGGGCTCGGCTAAGGATGAGGACAGGCTTGCTTGCTGTGTATCTCTCTTCCTTGGAGCAGCTGCCAGCCCAGGGTCAGATTCACTATATCCACTAAGCAGCATGACCCTAAGTCGGAGGCTGCATGGTGCTCTTCAGCCCTAACGTGCCAGTGTGGGCACAGGGAAGACCCATGCCTGGCCTCAACCTTCCTAATGCCAGCAGCACCCACCAAGTTATGTCATCTGAATGATGTCATGCAGAATCACCCAACTGCAAACCGCTGGTGCAGTGCTGCCAGTCTGTGTGTATGTGCCCAGAACAGGACAATCGGAGAGCTATTCACTGTGGACATGTCAATCCTGGGCTGAGGCCTCAGATGCACAGGGCTACAAGCAATGTCAATGTTAAGACAATCATTTCACAGTTGAAAGGGGCTTCAAGCAGCAGAGCTGGCCCTGGACTAACAGTGCAGCTCTTGGTGCCTGTTTTCCCTGTGGTGGTTTGAATGAGAATGACCACCAGAGGCTCAGATATTTGAATGTGTAGTCCCTAGTTGGTAGAACAGTTTGAGAAGGATTAAGAAGTATGGCCCTAGAGGAGGTATGTCACTGGGGCTGGGCTTTGAGACTTCAAAAGCCCAGCTATTCCCAGTTAGCTCTTTCCCTGCTTTGTGGTGTTGTCTCAAAATGTGAGTTCTCAGCTGCTGCTCCAGAGCCATACCTACCTGCCTGCTGCCATGCTTCCCGCCATGATGGTCTTGGACTCTAACATACTGGAACTGTAAAGCCCTAATAAACTCTTCTATAAGTTCAGTTACCCAGTGTTCCATCACAACAAAAACTAAAACACTCCCTTCCCACTGTGGCATCCAAGCTGATGACTCCAGAGGATCAAATATGTAGTATGGGTGCATGTTTTTCCTCCTGGCTCCAAGCTCCCAGAATAATGATTCATGAGACTCAAAATATATTTACAAATACCTAAGCCGTATAGCTAGGCTGCTCTCTGACTAGCTCATAACTTAAAATAAGCCATTTATACTAAACTATTATTTTGCCATGTGGCTGGTTACCTGTGCTCAGGTACCACGTGTCTGTCCTCCTCACAAGGACTAGAAGAAAAAGAGTAGAAGTTGGCTGATGAAAAGGGCAGGGCCTGAGGGTAAGAAGGTCCAGAACACTTACCAGGTGCATTTTAATTTGAACCTTGTTGTCATCCATTGCCTCACCTCAGCCTCACTGAGCCTAAGATGCGGTGCAGTCAGATCTCTAACTGGACAGGAAGAAGGCAGAGTGGAAGGTGATCTGCCCATGACAGTGAGGTGGTTGCAGATGGCTGCTCCTGAGATCCTGCAATGCCTGCTGGACTGCTGCCAACTGTTAGGCTCTTCACATAGACTTTGAGTTCTTATAAGAAAGTCAGGGGAAGTCTCTAGGTAAGTTGAGAATGTCTGCAGTGTTTCCAAAAACAGGGGAGAAAAGGTTGTAGAGACCTGCCCTGGGAAAGAAAACTGCACTGGTCTCCCTTAATATTCCAGACAATTTCCCTTCCAGAAACAAGGATGCATACAACACAAGACCCAAAATTAGCCCATCTGAAGGCCAACAGCTGATTTCAATTTAATGATGTATTAGTCAGTTTTGCTACAGTAACAACCCCCTAAATCTCAGTGTTTACCATAAAAAAAAAAAAAAATGCCATTCATGTTACAAACACTGGTTTTAGGCCAGCTCCTGTGAGCTTTGCACAGACACCCAGGCTGAAGGGTATGCTCCTATCTGAGAAATGGAGCCTCATAGGAGAGGGAAAAGAATACTTGTAGGCCCCTGCCCACTGGCTCCTCAAGCTTCTGTCAGATGTCACATCTCATTGCCCTTGCACGGGCATTGAGCAGTATGCTCCCCTTGGGAGCAGGGGTGGGTACTGCAGGTGAGAGCACACAAAGTCTCTAGGACACAGAGAACAGCTCAAGACAAAAACAACCTGTGAAGGTAAAGACTTTCCAGATCAGAAGGCATGAAATCCTAGCCAGGCAGTGGTGCACACCTTAATCCAGCATTCTTCTGCTGAGGCAGGAGCAAAACGCAAGCTGAGGAATTGGGGAAGCTCTGGTCTGGTCTGCTGGAAGTTCTCACAGTGGGAGGTCAGGGAAACCGGCAGACTGCTGAGCAGTCCCAAGGATCCCAGTCTGTACAGTCGTCAGCACAGAAACAGATGTGACTCCATTTATCTCATAGCATCCACAGCATCCCTTACAGCTCTTCCCCATGCTGGTGAGAGAACTGAACCAGTCTCTCAGCCTGAAGGCCTTAGAGTTCTGTGCAGGGCCGAGGAGTGCCTTCTGTATGTGCCCAGTGTCACAGAGTTATGACTGTCGCTGCATCCTGAGAGAGTCTACAGGTCAGGGAGTTACCAAGGCCAGCTCTTCTGGTAACTGTAGCAAATGCTTCTTTCAGAGATGGACTCCAAGGATGCTCTGACCAGGGCAGAGCTGTGAATCTGAGGAGGTGAGGCCCAGCTAGAGCTCAGTACTCAGCTAGACAGGCTGAGGTTCAAAGAGGCCAGTAGCCTCATGAGGCTAGGAACCATTGTCCCTGGGGATAGAGTGCTGGACTCTAGGTCGGCCCAGCTAATCCAAGTGTGTAGATTCCAGGCAGAGGAAGTTGAGGGAAGAGACCTGGGGGCTTGGATCAAATATTACCTGTGCACCCTCTTCCCCTGAAGGTAATTCTTACAGAAAGGAGAGGACCCTACACAGACCAGGAATGCTGGTGTAAGGGCTTTCACAGCGTACCTGCAGGGAGCAGCAAAGAGTGGTTAACTGGATTACACTCCCCATTCTTCCTGGCCCTTCCCAGCCACACTCAAGGTGAACCTTTGAACATACATGAACATTCAAATACAACTTAGCACGTTTGTTTGTTCGTAAGTTTGGCTGCGATGGCTGTCAGTGAGCAGAGGATTTGACTAGCGTCTGGGAAGGGGCCTGTGCATTTTCCCATCGTTCCATGGAGGTACTCACCTGGGGTGCTGCAGCACCTCTAGCAGGGTGCTCCTGGGCGACACCTGGTAGAGTTCTGCCCTGTCCTCATCCTCGAAGTAGACCTGTAAGATGAGCCAAGGGGAGAATGAGAGACAAGAGCTCGGCAGCACTACCATGCTGCACCCATTCTGAGGAGAAGATGGGATAGCAATAGTGGAAGGCCTGCCTCCTCCACACGGCTGCAGGCTCAGGTGCTCAGTCAGCTCCCACTGTGCTACCCAGAAAGCTGACAACCAGCTGTGTTCTCCAAGGTCAGGGAGGGGAATAGCTCCTCCTGTCACTCAGACAGTGAGGAGGCACCAAAGCTCAAGCCCAGGACTGTGCAGCCTTCGGTTTAGTCCCCATGCCGTTGGGGTTGGGGAATAGAAAGCCACAGCGACCCACAGCAAAGGAAGAGCCACAGCAGGTGAGAAGGGTATGTACGCAGAGCAAGGTGAGGACCTCTCACAGGAGGCACGCTGGAGCTCAACCAGGAGAGGGAAGCACTCACACCGGGAGTCAGGCAGCCTGAGCAGGAAAAGAAGGGCTTCCTTGGAAGCCACGTGGCCTAGTGCAGCAAGCTGGAGCCCAAGAGGACTGAAAACAATATCCACACGTGTCGGGCAGAACAAACGATGAGGGGTTATCAGGCCTCCATAGATGAAGGGTGACCACCAGTTACGGCAGAGAATGGCTCACTGTTCTTGTTCTCTGTTGCTATCTGCAGTACCAAGGATAGGACCCAGGGTTCACACATGCTAGGTGAGTGATCAACCACTGAGCCACACCCTCTTTCATTGCTTTTAAAAACAAAAAAATGCACATTTTTTACCCAAGTTAACTGCTTGTTAGTCCAGGCTGGACTCCTGCTTCAGCTTCCTAAGTGGCTGGGATTACAGGCCACTAAGCCCAGCCAGGATGGCCTGTGTGCAGGTTAGAGCCGGAACAGGATACAGAGGGAATGAGCCATGCAGAACGTCAGAGTCTGCAGAAAAGGAAGGCTGCCATGCTGGGACAGATGTCCAATATGGGGCTCAGGGCTCCTCTAGGAAGGTGCCATGCTGGTGACAGAAGGGGACTGATCAAAGGACATTAGGTCAGCTGGGCATGGTAACACACAGCTGTAACCGTAACACACACAGGCTGAGGCAGAGGGACTACCCTGAGCCCCAGGCCAGCCTGCGCTCCACAGGAAAAACCTGACTCCAAAAGCCCCGAAGTCTTCATTACAATAGAGAAAATGAATAAAGCAAACCCCATGCTGTAGAACTGGGGACACACGTTCCACACACACTCAGCCATGAGTCCCCTTCCCAATATTAACAGCGCACAGAGATCCTGGCTTCCAAACACCGTTCTCCAAAAGAAACAACCAGGGGTCCTTGGGAAAAATGGCTGCTATCAGAGCTGGGATGAAGAAAGCACAACTCAGAGAAACAAGTACTTAAAGACGGCAAGTAAGCTAATCAACAGAAACAAACCCGAAGAAAGTGCCCCTGACCAATTCTAGCACAATTTGAACATAAACAACCAATAATAAACTATAAGTCATTGAGTAAAAGAGAAAGCCATAAATCCACTGAGTCAAATAAATGTTGGGGTACTGAGATGGCTCAGTAGTAAAGGTACCTGCTGCCAAGCTTGATGACCTGAGTTCAGAAATCACATGATGGAAGGCCAGAACTGGTGATACACACACACACACACACACACACACACACACACACACACACACACACAGTGACTGTGCAGTAGCAACCTGGCGACTCCTCCTTGGTCAGGTGGGACCAGGGTGACCATCACCGAAAACAGGACTGGGAGCCCACCTGACAGGTGACAGTGAGAACACAGCACCACTCACTGTGATGGGTTAGCATGTACAAGCTCTTGATGGACAAGCCTGATGGCCTGAGGTCAATCCCCAGAACCTACAGAGGAGAAAACCAATGCCTAGAAGTTGTCCATTTTACCTCCACACATGCTCTGGCAAATCTCACACGCATCCTACACAAACAGTTTTTAAAACCCTCAGTTGCTGTGTACACCTCCCAATATCCCTTAGGAATGAAATAAAACTCTTCTTACCTCCAAATTATCCGGGTGGTACTTGTGCTCTTCGTCCCAGGAGGGTGCATCACTAAACATGGCCATCAGATGGTCAATAAACCTAAAGAGGAAGGTGTGCTTTTTGGGTATCAATGTTCCAACTACATTCCCACATCACTCCGTGGATGCCAACTCGGAAAACTGACGAACAATAGCATGACAGTCAGGCTTAACCTACTTTGACAAGAGCGCCAAAGCATGAAGGCTTTTCACTGTCTGTAACATAGTCTTTTGTAATGGAAGTTTTGGTTTCTTTGTATGTCATGAAATAGGCTTTTGTTTTAATCTCAACTGTGGGATTTTAGTTGGGTTATAGTTTGTCTACACCTATTAATTGTCATGTGCGGGGTGTGATCTTCGCCAGCTGCTAAGGGCCTTCTATGTGCCACACAAAGAGGGGTGTAGTCTAGGACTCTTGAGACTATGAGATCCCAGAAAGAGACTGTGAGGTGTTCTGTGGAGTACAGTGTGGCGTTTGGTGTGGGTGCATGACCTATAACGCTTTGGAGAGACTAGAGACCAGAGAGGGTGTGGTGGGGCGCAGTGGCGTGGAGGAGCCTGCTGGCTGCATCTGCTGCTGACAGAGATTGCTAGAGAGCCCTAAAAGAACCCCGTGACCCTAACTAGCTGAGAGAAGTAAAGGGGTCTGGGCCCCTCTCCCCATTAACCTTTTCTCTCTCCTACTTAAGGTTGGGGGTTGGTGGAAAGGAGGTAGAGGCCTAAACACCCCAAATAAAGTAGAGTTTTAAACAAGAGCGCCACTGGTGGCTTTCTGCTAAAGTCTTTCTAAGCATTAGCCCTTTGAAATCACAAGTTAGATGGTACAATCTACACATTTTTTAATACACCACAGTGAAGTTATATACAACGGACCACCTATATACAATGAACCACCCACGCAGTGATGAGGCAAGACCTGTGTTGGCAGCAAGTAAACTGATTGATGACAGAGAAGCCTGTCAGCGTCCTAGGGGACAGCCTCTAAACTGCTTTCTTTGCTCCTCAGCCAAAAGCCAACCTGTCTCTTCTGACACGTCAGCAGGAAGAGCACACAGCTGGGTGGAGGGCTGTTGGGTAAACACACACCTGGAGTCCTCATGAAAAGCAGAGATGAAGTCAGACTGTGCATACTCCGGGTACAGGAACAGCACAGGCCAGCTGAGCCGGCCCTGCTCATCTAGACTTAGTCTGGCTCCGCAGGGGTTCTCAGAGCTAAGCCCATCCAGGAAGACCTCAGCTGGACCAGAGGCTGACTCTCCATCTTCACCGGCCACTTCAGAGACAAGCCTGATGTTCCTAGCCTGCATTAAGACAGGAACACACACTCGAACAAACCCTATCACGTACGAAGATGCAAACACAGGTCACGGAAACAAGCCCCAGCCATACGAGCTTCCTCAGGGCCTGCTCCACACAGATCCACCTTAACTATCCTGGTGGCTGGCACACAGTAGGCACCAGCTGTCTAACTTACCTTCATGGGCATCTGTTGTGTGCTTAGCCCTGCATCAAAAGAAGAGCTGGACACAGTTCCCTGCCCTCGGGCTGTTTCTGGTCTAGAGGGAGCGGCTAAGGAACAGTTACAGCAGAAGGTAGGAGGTGGAGCCGAGGACCTGCAGACGGAAGCTGCAGAATCTTAGGAGTGCTGGGCTTGAACACTGGCTTTGAAAGGCAGAGGATGCATGGACAGGCCACCCCAAGGACTAGCGCGTGCAAAGGCACAGAATGGGCAGGAGTGCAACAAATAAAGGAATGCAAATGCTTCCCTCTGGTGAGGATATGGGATGCTAAAATAAAGCCTGACTTTATCCTGACTGCCTTTCTGAAGTATAGCTCCACCAAGGGTCTCCAGATTAGGGCCACCTCTTCTGTGTGTCAAGGTTTCTAAGGTTTAGGGAAGCACATTTAGAGAAGTCAAAATTAGTTTGGATGATAGCCCCAAAGTAGGAGTTGGCAAACTTTTTCTTTTCTTTTCCCTTTTTGGGACAGTCTCATGTAACCCAAGCTGGCCTTGAATTTCTGATTCTCCTGTCGCCTGCCCCCAGGTGCTGGGATTACAGGTACACCCTAGATGGCAAACTTTTTCTTAAAGGATCAGCTACTGTGGGGCCAAGCAATCTGTTGATATTAGTGCCCTCTACCGCGGCCTACAGGAAAGCCTTGGATGATACATAAACATGAGAACTGATTCAATGTCAGCCATCTATGGCCTCTGCCTTAAATCATCAGTAAAACACAGCTTTTGTGCTGGCTACTTTTATGTCACCTTGATACAAGCTAGAGTCATCTGAAAGGAGGGTACCTCATTTGAGAAAATGCCTCCATATGATCCAGCTATATGGCATGTTCTTAATTAGTAATTGATGGGGGAAGGCCCAGCCCTCTGTGGGTGCTGCCATCCCTGGGCTGATGGTCTTGGGTTCTGTAAGAGAGCAGGCTGAGCAAGCCATGAGGAGCAAGCCAGTAAGCAGCACCCTCCATGGCCTCTGCATCAGCTCCTGCCCTGCTTGAATTCCTGCCCGGACATCCTTGACTAATGACTTATTACATGGAAGTGTAAGCCAAATAAACCCTTTCCTCCCCAACCTGCTTTTGGTCATGATGCTTCATTACAGCAAGAGAAACCCTAACTAAGGCAGCACTGTGTATTGATGTGGGGTTAGAGAGACGGTTGAGTGTTTAAGAGCAACGGCTGCTTTTCCAGGTTCGATTCCTAACACCCTGGCCCCGCCTCTGTGGGCACTACATGCATGTGGTACACAAAGACAACATATTCAAGCAAATAGTAATAATAATAAATAAACTCTGTATGCAAATATCTGGGTACATTATTCAATAAAACGGCCAAATCCTCTGAATGAATATCAGATTTAAAAACCTAGGGCATATTGTTCTATTCTGTTTGTTGGGTTGGGATTTTTTGTTTTGTTTTTGAGACGAGAGTTTCACTAGTATTTGAAACTGGCTTCAAATTCACCAGGTTCCTGCCTCTGCATCTCCAGTACTGGCACTGCAGACATGTGCCACCATACCCACTTACCAGTCTACTTAACATTTTAAAAGATTTATATTTATGTGGTGTTTCGCCCACATGTCTGTCTGTCTGAGGGTGCCAGGTCCCCTGGAACTAGAATTACAGACAGTTGTGAACTGCTATGTGGATGCTGGGAGTTAACCCATGTCCTCTAGAAGAGAGCAGCCACTGTTCTTCATCTCTGAACCATTTCTCCAGCCCCATATTAATTTGTTAATATGTGTTAACCAGCTGCCTGTTGGGGGAGACAAGTGAGGTACACTTAAGTTAAGTTCTCAAAGTTAAAACTTAAATGGGTGCATAACTTGAACCCAGAATGAAACTAAAACCTCAGCCCAGCAGGCACCTTTCAAAGACAGAGCAACATCAAATGGGAGACTAGCCACAGGCCAAAGACAAAAAAAAAGATGCACAGACTAATTCATTTCAGGTTTCAGGTTAAGTACCAAAGCGCTAACTGGCTTGGCCACTGAGCCTCCTAGACTACACTCAATTAAGAATGCAGGACAGGGAGGGTTTTACTCTTGTTAGTGTGAGCAACACCCTAAAACTGGGGCTTCCTCAGGCTGTAAGGTACGTTACAGCGATGAGCAAAGGCCCCGACTCTGACCCCAGGAGCTGCATGAGGTGTTTTTCAATCTAAGGTTAGTAAACTAGGAACAAGAAGGCCTTCCCCAGATGGCTGCTGTGGAGATGGAATGAGAGGATGCCTAGCCCAGAGCACGCACTCAGTATGTTGCCAAGACTGGCACAGGCAGGAGCAGAGCTAACTGACCGTGCTGTTCTGACTCCAGAGCCCAGGGTAAAAACACCTGTAAAGGCAAAAGCATCCCAAGAAAGGTCCTGGAAGGCTTCACACAACCAGGGGACTTCATACACTGTGTGGCCTAGGGTTTGAGAACTCACCTTGATGGCCTGAAGTAGAGCCTCATTCTGACTCTGTTCCTTCTTTTCTTTCAACTTTGCTTTCCTCAGATCCCTCTCTTCCATCCTCTGGAAATAAAATTCAGATGCTAACCGCTCCAGGTAATTCTTTCTCACTCTTACCCAGCCTGCAGGACTATATCCAGACTCTACATAAGCCACATTCCTGCTCAGGGTTAGCCAGTGGCTGGTTCAGTAAACAAGAGCATGGCATAGTCCCAAGGGTCAGGCCCAGGGCCAGCAGAAATGTAAAACCCACTTGTTAAAAAAACCCAAAATTTTAGTTCTTGTACCCAAGGAATTTGTGATTCACCGAGGGGTGCTGCCAAGTAAAGGGCCAGGCACACCAGTGTGTTGTGCCTGGCGTACCTGGTGGTGTGGACTGAGTACAACGAACGTGGGTGACTGACTGCCCCGAACGTGGGCTTAGGCAGATGAGGAAGATGCCACCAATAAAGGAGAAAGGGCATCTCCATTCAGGGACCTCAGTGGAGAAGACAGGCACTGCATGGGGACCCCAACCTCTCAGGGATAGCTGCAGAATCCATGCCAAAAATCCACAGGTTCTGCCTTCTGCAGTTATAAGCTGTGAGAGGAAAACATGACTATTCTACTTGATCTGGCAGAAACGGAGTTCATATCTTCTTCCCCTACCCCAGTCTCCACCCCTAGCACTCCTGCTTTCACCCTTGGCTTTGCAGCTGATAGACAACTGCCAGCATCTGCTACAAAGGGAAGAGGCCAAATAATTTAGGCTCTGCAGATCATGTGGTCTCTGTTGTATATTATATCTCTAGATAATGTGAAAACCCGCTTAGCTCATTTCATCTTCATAAAAACATTCAAGGTACGTATAATACTCTTCATTTGCAAAGCCCGGAAGAAGGAATAGCAGGAATTTGTCCACGGCATTTCAGCAGTGGCAAAAGTAGGATTCAAACACAGATTTGTTGAAGTATCCCTCTAGGGCTCTTGTCTGGAAGGTTCTTCCTTCCCCCTAAGCCTCATTTAGCTGCTCAGTAAACTCCCGCTCAGCCATTAAGAGATTGGGCTCAGGCACCACCTTTCTCAGCAACCTGGCTTTTGCACCTGCTCTTGGCAGGGCAAAGCCAGCTACCACTAGTATAGACAGCTAGCATGCACACCGTGTATTCCCACAAGGGCTTGAGTCACAGTCTAAGGAAAGCTAACTAGCAAATGCAAACTGTGGACAGTTACCAACCTTCAGCTTGTCTGCTTTTGCCCTTATTTCTAGAAGTTTCTTCTCTTTGACATCGATTTGCAGCCCCTCATCACACCAGCTCACGGCCTCAGCAAAGTGTTTCAGTTCAAGATGGCAGAGGGCACCTGCAGAAGCCAGAGTCCTGAGGATCTAGGAACAACATGCACAGAAAGCTCCTCCTTGAACAAAGCTCCTCCTTCCTTCCCCACCGGCCACCAGCCAGCCCCAAAAGGAGAGACAGGATGCAGCTCTTTGTAGTTCAGTTCTAGACAAGGAAAGGGTTTGAGTACTATGGATCAGAAATTACCTAATCCCCCCACAGTTCAGAACTTCCAAGCCTTCCTGGTCTACAGGACCCAAAAATGGAACCTCTCATTAAAGAACACAGGCCCTGTAGTCATACAGAGCTGGGCTACAAAATGGCTGTCATCTACCTGCTGGACCCTGGACAAAGGCCATGTCTGAGCTTCAGGTTCCTCGTCTGCAGATGGGAGAATAAAGCCTATTTCAAATGATGTGTTTATTGTTTTAAGTGTGTGTGTGTGTGTGTGTGTGTGTGTGTGTGTGTGTGTGTGTGTGTACGTATATATGTACACAAAAGTGCCTGCCTAAAATGGCCAGAAATGTTATCTAGTCCTAGGCAACTGAGAGTCCCTGGGCACTGAACTCTAGCCCTCTGCAAGAGCAGAGTGTTCTCTTAATTGCTGAGCCATCTCTCCAACCCTCAGAAGATGTTTATAATAAGGCAGAATTCCCTCAGCTATCAGTCAACACTGAAGCCCCAAACTGGGTCTCTTCTAATTTTTCTTTTTTACATAGCCATCTACTGAAGCTGCCCCCATTCTGGTTTTTTGCTTGACTGATTTGAGGTTTGTTTGCATTCTGGGATGAAATGAGGCACTCTGTGCATGCCAGAGAAGTGCCCTACCTATAAGCAACATACCTTGATTCTATTTCTAAAACGTAATACAATTGTGTTCATTTTCTCTATTTAGGCTCTTTTAGGCTTTTCCTCGAAATTTAAAACATCAGAACTTTACCATAAAGGCTTGATTGTCAAAGACTTCAACCCCAGATAAGGGAGATGACGCAGGAGGTAAAGGCCCTTGCTGCCAAGCCTGATGACCTAAATGCACTCCCTGGAGATCACATGGTAGAGGAGGAAAGCCTAAACGTTGTCCTCTGACCTCTACACACAGATCATGGCATATGTGTGTCAACTCATGCACAAAATAAATACATACTTTTTGTAAAAAAAAGACTCTAACCTCATCATCTGCAAACGAGCAAACTGACACTGACAGCAGCTGTCCTGCCAAGACCAGACTATAAGGTGAGGCTGACGGTGAATCAGTTCCACAGGACTGTTCTCTACCAGCCCATCCTGACTCAGGGCCTTCTGTCCTGCGGCTGAGGGACAAGGATCTACTTCCCAGCCCCATCCACAGACATCTAAAGAGGGATGACTTAGGTAAAGCAGTTTAAACTGCCTCATGGCAATGTAGGGAAGTTCAACACATGATGAATAAATTAAAGTTTGCAAAGCACCCCAAGCTCAAAGAAAAGGTGAAGTAAAATAATGAATGCAGTGTTATTACAAAGGTCAGACCATACCACGAAAAACGTGGGAAGAGCCCAACAGCCGAGTTCTTGGCAAAGACCCCACAACTTATCTTTTAATCGCTTTTAACATGGTATTTGAATATCTTGCCTTTCACTCAGGTAAACTGGGGAGAAGATCAGAATATGCTGTTGTCTTAATTTTATTCTTTAGTAATTTAAAATGGTGAGTTTCCATTTCCTACAAACACAGCATAAGAGGTAGAGGCATCTGAGGAGTGCCGACATGAAGCAGGAACTTCACGTCAAGGCTTCAGGACTAAGGTGACCTCCCCAGTGCCCAGCACCTCAGGAGCCAAGCTTTCACTGGCAGCTTTACGTGTAGAGCACTAGCTTTTCCACAATGATGGCCACCCCGCAGCTCATGGAGACTCACCTCTTATTATGGCTTTCACATGGCTGGGCTTTAGCTTCTTGGCAGCCAGCACGTCATTGAGGGCAGAGCGAAAATTGCCTAACAAAATGCCATTAATAAAAGAAAGAACAAGTTTTGAGATCAAAATGTTTCCAAAATATCACGGCATTGACAGTTTCCAAGGAGTCAGAACAACCGAACACTCTTCTGGAAAAATAAAGTTACATTCATCGAGTCCTAGGGTTCACAGCATCAGGCAATTCAGAAGAACTGGCAATGGCTAGCAATCACGTGAGGAGATACCTAGTGTCACTAGTAGCTGGGAAACTAATGCCAACGTGAAATTGGTGTGGACATGGAAAAGAAAAGTGTCCCAATAAATTAGAGAATAAATTAGCACCCACTTTGAACCAACAGTTTTCTCTTAGAAATTATTCTCAACAATCCTTGAATAATGTGTTAGGTATCGACGTGATCAGTATACGCAAGTGAGCTGTAATTTCCCTCTCGTACTGAGCTTTCACAAACAATTCCCCTAAATTTTCCTGGCTGACCTCAAACTTGGGATCCCCTAGCCTCATTCTCCCAAGGGGCTGAGATTTACAGGGTCCCAGACACTTACAAAGGCACTTAGAACACAGAATACATTTTGAAAGCTGAAAAGCAGAGGGACATGCTTGGAACCAGAAAACAGAGGAAAAGCCCTGAGCTACCAAGCCACAGTACAGGAGGACAAAGCCCTCAGGCCTACGTGCCACAGGCACCAGGGCCCTCTGCAATAGGAGTGAGGCAGACAGAAAGGCCATCACCCTTCCCAAACCTGGTGAGAGACTGGAGGTTCACTCTAGGCAGACACAAAAACTTGACATGTGGACTGAAACCCCCAGGCCCGGCGGTAATTCAGTAAAGGAGAACTAAGCAGACAGCCCTCAGCCCCATTCTCCCTCTCGTTCAGAGAGCATCAGCAGCCACCGTTTCCAAAAAGAGAAAACACTACACAGAATAAGGAAAAGTATCAATTTAAGGCCAGGTGTGTTGGTGCATGCCTTTAATCCCAGCGATCAGGAGGCACAGGCAGGAGGATCTCTCTGAGTTCAAGGCCAGCCTCGGCTACAAAGTGAGTTCAGGACAGCCAGGGCTACAGAGAGAAGGCCTGTCTCAAAAACAAACAAACAAACAAACAAATGAAAACAAAAAAAAGAAAAAAATCAATTTAAGAAATTTCTTATATCCACCTGTCTTTGCCTTTCAAGTTCCAAGATTAAAGGCATGAGCTGGCATAAATTTCTTCTTTCTTTTTTAAAGATGTGTGCGTGCGTGCGTGTGCGTGTGCGCGTGCGTGCGCATACATGTGCACACACATGCATGAATGCTCATGGACCTAAGAGGTCATCATATTTCGGGAGCTAGAGTTGTGCCTGTGAACACACGGCTGTGAGCAGCCTGACGTGGGTACTGGGACCCGAACCTGAGGTTCTCTGAAGGGCAGTGCGTGCTCTTAACTTTTGAGCCATCTATCTCTTCAGCCCTTGATGTAACTTCTTCAGAAATAATAGTCAGGCCGGGGAGACGGCTCAGCGGGTGAAGGGCTTGCTCAACAGGCCTGAGAACCTGAGTCAACCCCTAGTCACCCTTATAAAAAATGCTACTTGTGCTGGCATATGCTCGTAATCCCCATGCTGAGGGGAGATGCAGAGGCAAATGGACTCATGGGGCTTGCTGGCCAGCCAGCCTTTCTCAGAAAGCTCCAGGCCAATGACTCCTGTTCTAAAAAAAAGGAAGAAGGCTCCTGAGAACGACATCCCAGGTTAACCTCTCCCCTGCGCACACATAACCCTCCTCCCCCCAGCCACATGAAGACATGCGCACACAAAGAACAGCTAACAGAGTCGGAATGAGTACTCACCGAGATAGTACTGGGCTGCTGCCCGGTTGGTGTACAGGACTGCATTCAACTCAGGGTCTCCACACTTCTTCTTTAACCCTTCACTGTATGAAACCACAGCTTTCTTATAGTCTCTTTCTTTAAAGTAGTCGTTGCCTTCATCTTTATAGGTCTTGGCTTGCTCTGCAAAGACGAGGAAACAAGTACCATGTCCTACCTTTCAGAAAGCTCACTAAAAATCTCTATCATGCAGTAAGGTAATATTGTGCATGTAGGTTTTTTTGTCATCTTGAAACAAGCTAGAGTCATCTGGAAAGCGGGAGCCTCAAAGGAGGAGACAAACAAGCAAATGCCTCTGCTGGAGTTTGGTCTGATTCTGTTGCTGGCCCTCAAGATCTGGTTACCCCCATCCTTGTTTTGTAAACCTGCCTAAGACATACCTGACTGGTCAAGTAAATAGCCTATACCTGGGCAAGGCAGAATGGGGTAGGTGTGGCTAAGGTTCCTGGGATTTTGTGTTCAAGGGAGAAGATAGGAAGAAAGGAGGAAGGAGGATGCCATGATGGGTCAGCTAGAGAAGAAACCACATGGGGCTGGGAGGAAGGATTCCAATAATAGGGTGAAAATGCCCAATTAAAAAATAAAAGCAAGTATTTATAAGATTATAGATGGATGATAGGATGGTTAAGAGAATGGCATCGGGGCTGGGAGATGGATGGTGAGGTGATTCAGACAGCACAGGTAGAAATATCTATCCAGCCCAAGGTAAATAAGGCAATTTATAAAATCTAACAGGTGTTTGTGTCTTATTATTTGTGATACAGGTTAGATAATATCGCCATGATAATCATAGGGCTAATAACAAACATTATGTAGCCCAACACTCCTATTTATTACAACATGCTTCCATCAGATTGGCCTGTCTTGGACATTTTCTTGATAATGATTGATATGAATGGTCCCATCACACTGGGCAGTACAAGTCCTGGGCAGGTGGTCCTGCGTTGTACAAAAAGCATGCTGAACAAGGCAATGAACAAGCCAGTGAGCAGGCCTCCATAGTCTCTGCCTCAGTTCCTGCTTGAGTTCTTTAGGACTAACTATAACCTGCAAGCTAAAATAAAAGCCTCTCTTCCCCCACATCCATTTTGGTCAGTCTTAGCAGAGCAAAAGAAAGGCAAACTAACAGCTATGTGATACATGAAAGAGATAGAATCAACAGGAAAAAAAAATCCAAATTAAGAGTATGATAAAATGGGCATCAATATAGAGACACAACATCATGGAAACTTAATGGTAGAACCAATTCCAAAAAATGTTATGACATATATTACTAAGTGCTTCTTTTTTTTTTTTTTTTTTTTTTTTTTTTTTTTTTTTTTTTTTTTTTTGAGACAGGGTTTCTCTGTGTAGCCCTGGCTATCCTGGACTCAACTCTGTAGACCATGCTAGCCTCGAACGCAGAGATCTGCTTGTTTCCCCTCCCAAGTTCTGGGATTAAAGGTATGGGCCACCACTGCCTAGCTATGAGTGCTATTTTTTTTAAATGGGGGAATAAAAGATGCTCTAGAGAGATGGCTCAGCAGGTAAAGGCACTTGACCCCAAGCTCAACAACAGTGCCCACTGCAGCAATAATACACTTATTGGCCCTTATCATACATCCTTCCTGATTCTTTAGGCTTTTCACTGGAGTCTGACCTTTGAGGCCTGGAACTGTGTGCACTTAGTAGGTATCCAATGAAGAATGTGTGGAGTGAATAGTGACAAGTTAGCCATCTAACTCATTCTTTAGCTCACCTCAACAAAGACACAACGCAAATGCTAGTCACAACATACCTTCTGGAGATCGCTCATCATCAAAAATAATCGACTGGAGGCAAGCCAAGTCAGGAAACTCCTTAGGATCAATTTCTGACGGTGCTTTCTTCATAAATAGAGGGATTTTGTCAAATTCCTAGATTTTAATAGAATAAATCAGATTAGTGTTGTCCACTGACTAAATCCAATCCCAAGACACAGCATCAAAGGGTTTTTTATTTCTTTGTTTGTTTTGTTTTTCCCCACTGATCATGATATTGAAATCCTCATGACGGGCCCGTTTCTCTGGTGGAGCTGGAGTGTGGGATCCTGATTTCCAACACTCTCTAAGGGCGCTCTCACGTTCCTGACCACCTTCATCATCTCCTTTCATCTTTATCCCAACCTTATGAGCCCTGGATGCTTCAGGGAAAGCAACTTTACAAGTAAGGAACCCAGCTCAGAGAACTCAAGAAACAGCTCTGGTAGCAGAACCAGGTGGTGGTGGGTCACAGCGCTGCCTGCCAAACGCTGTGGTCGTAAACGCACTGACAACTTAGACCCTCAAAACCTCGAGGCCGATGGTTTCTAGCACTCAACTGAGAGCCAGCGACCAGGCGCGAGGACCACGCTCCTACCCCTGAGGAGCCCCCAGGACCGCCCACCTCCTCCCACTGGTCCTCGCGGAAGCCGCCGCGGTACGGCTGGCTCTTAAACTTTTCCAGGAACGCGTCCATGGAAGTGTCATCCGCAGGGTCAGGCTCAGAACTCTCCATTGCTCCTCGGGACTTCAGCGCTTGAGTCCGGGGACCAAAAAGCGCACCGCTCCTTCCGGCGGCGGAGTGCCCTTCCCTTTGCTGTCCGGGCTGCGCACAGCCATGCCTCTCGGGTTCCGCTGGTCTGGGGCGTGGCCTGCCTGGAGGTGTGGTCTGGCCGGGAGCCTTCCTCTTGTCTCTCCTCCATGGGCAGATCTTGCCTGGCCACGGGTCTCCTGGGTTTAGGAGTGGTTAGTTAAGCTCCCTTTGTAGCTGCATCCTCTATATCCTCTCCCCAGCCCTGATGTTTTTATGTCTTGTCTATAAATGGTCTCAAAAGGTGAATTCTTAGCCAGGCCTGATGACATTTGTCTGTAATCTTAGCACTTAGGAGGTTTAGTAGGAGAATCACAAGTTCAAGACCATCCTAGACTATATAGCAAGACCCTGTCTCAAACAGAACAAAACTTTTGTGCATGTAATTTTTAGTATTCTCTTTTCAGTCAGCACAAGGCTTTTGAGGTCCCCATAGAGCCAAGTACAGCCCCACTACCTATAACTTCCCATAAGACTCCATGGGGCTTACCGTACAAGGATGGGTATCCAGCCTGCCCCTCCCTTCTCCTCACAGATAATACTACAACAGACATCTTTATACATGCCCCTGTGGGGCTGTGGAAAGATTACCCCAAGATGTATGTGCACAAGCAGAATCTTTGGGTCATGAATGTTCATAAGCGTCTCGCTCCTGACTAGTAACAGACGCTTGTTCAAAATAGCTGCATTCGTCTCTGCCCCAACAACAATGCCCGGTGGTTCCTACACCCCATGAGGGGTTTCCTAAAGCTGGCATCTGCTCATAGAGCTCTCTTCTTAGCTCCCCACCATTCCTCCCCACTGTCCTCTGGATGGAGTCATGCATAGCCTCTATGGCCTTAGGGCCTGGCCCTTGCACCTCTCCTCTTTTTCTAGGTTCCTTCTCACTGTGACTTTGAAGGTGGTCTTTGGTCCTCTGTACCCTGCTCTCCACCAGTAGATGCCCAAACGTAGTCATCTTTCCGCGTCTCTCCTCTGGCTACCACAACCTCTGGATGCCACAGTCCCCATGCCTTACAACTTTTGACCACTTGGACGTGAGAGCTGTTCTGCACACTGCACAGTGTGCCTGACAGCTGTTCTCTATCTACCAGAGTATGTAGTTTGTGCGATGTCATAGGTGGGAAGAGTCTCTTTTCTCTCTTTCCCTTTCCACACGGGCCACCCCAAATCATCACCCTTCTGCTCTTATCACTGGGGAAGGGGAAACTGAGATGTCCTGGAGACCTCCTGTGTGGCCCTTGGTCAAGTCACTTTACTGCTCTGAGCCTCAGTATCCCGTTATACAGAGCGAACAAAACAGCCCTCACACATCTGTAAATGTCAAGTGAGTCAACAAAGGAAGGCCATACTCTTTTCACAGACTTGTCAGAGTGAGGGCTACACAGGGGCTCGGGGTATCTCTCATGAGGAAGCCATCTGGAAGGAGAGGTTGACCACGTGGTATTTGCAATGATCTGGCTGGGGGTTTTGATATGTCACTGTTTCAAAGACATCTTCCAGGAACTCAGCGCCTGCATGATCCAGGAGCGTCGCTGGTGGGAAGTGGGCAGGTTCTCACAGCTGGGGCTCCAGCGGTGTGTACTGGATGGGTCACACACCCATGAATCTCCATGTGGCAGTGGCCAAGAGTTCCGCCAGCAACTGGCCATAATGTGGTCCTGGGCCTGGGCTGCATAGATACACACGGATGCTTCTGGATCATGTCTCAAGATCCCCAGAGCTGGGTGGGAGGAAGAGAAAGGCCACATGTTTAGACAAGGTTCCATCCTAGGTAGAACTCAGAACTCATCCTTTCTTCCCATCTCCTAGCTTTGGCTTAGACACCCGTCTGAAGCATCTTCCCAGCCCTTCATATTGTCACATCTTTCAAAGCCTCTGTGAAAATGAAAATTCTGCCTCCTATGGGAAGCCTTCCCAGATTTGTCTAGCCAAACTTCCTACTCCCATCAGCTCTCTCAGTTGCAAAAAGACGCTGTGCCCCTTAAGCATTTAAACTGTCCACCCTGGCTCTTGCTTTTGGAGCTCATTTGCTTAATGAAGTTCCAAGCTCCCCAGGGTGTTGTGCATTCTACCTCTGGGTGACCCCACGGTTGCTAACATTACAGTCACTATAGACAAACCTTAGTGTATACAGACACTGGGTCTGTATACACTGGCAGAGCTGTGCAGAAGACTCCTGCCCTGACCCACGGCAATTCTCTTCTCTTCCCCGCTGTGATTCTGCTCACGGTCTTGCTCCCTTGGTACCTTGCCAACCCAGGGTGTGACTTACCGGCCTTCACTTCATTCAGCCACTCTTCAGTCATGATGTTCTCCATGCAGGGGACCAGGGACCCTGGATAATCCAACAGGTAAAGTCGTCCACCTTGATACCTGCTCCTCCCACCCTGAACCGGAAGTCCTCGGAGAATCTGCCTGCCCTCTCCCAGACCCATAAATGAGGGCATGAAAGGTGAGCTTCATTATGACCTGAGGGCAGATTCTCAACATGAGTTTCAGAGAGGTGGTGGTCCAGTGGACAGGATGGAACCAGGACAGTGCAGGATCCTGGATGCAGCTGATTGACAGCGCCACCCTAGGATGGGCCTTAGCCTCCTTGTCTGTGACAGGGCAAAGTCCTGCTCCCTGGCCAACTTTCCCAGGGAATCTGAGCCCCTTCTCTTGTACGCCTGCTAGACACGGGTGCTATGGACCACTGAAGTGAATCAAGGAGCTGTCCTGATGGCTCCTTACCCACATGCTCATCCTGCTGTCCTCGCTCCACATCCCTGGCTATCCCCTGCCGCTCTCACAGAGCCTTCACTCATTTGTTTTCCTGAGTTGCTGTTTGTCCTTGTACGTTCCCTTCAGAAAGTGCTCTTCATGAGGTTCCTTTCTGACTCTGGCTGAGCCTGGCGTCTGCCTAGAGTATCTCAGAGTCTCAGTGAATTTCCTGTTTATATACACCAGGTCTGTATACACTGGGCCTGCATACACTTGGCCTTTATACACTGGGCCTGTATACACTGGCTCCGTATAACCTGGGTCTGCATACACTGGGTCCATATAATCTGGCTCTGTATATGCTGGTTTTTACTTGTGATTTATGATTCATATATTTATGTATGTGCCAGGAGCTGAGGCTTGACTCTGGGTCTTAGGCATACCAATCATGTATTCTAGCACTAAGCTACATCTCCAGACCCTGATTGTGAATCTCTGTCTCACACCAGACTATACATTTCTTAATTTTGTATACATTGGAGGATGGAGTAGGAGGGCAAGTTTCTGAGGATCCTAAATCTATATTCAAATTTTGTACATATATGCATTTTCTAAGCAAAGTGTTCATAACTTTCTTCTGAGTCTCACAAGAGGTCTGTCTCCCCAAAGAGGTAAGAAGTTCTACATTATTCCAGAAGCTGACTGTAAGCAGAGGTGGGCTCCACTCACTTTGTTCCCTTGGCACAGGTCCTGGCATTAGGTGTTAAACATTAACATTTTTAGAAGTCATTGGCTTGGAGCAAGATTCAAATAAATCAGCATGTGAGGGGCTTCCTCTGAGAAGTCCCTGAGCTTAGAGATGTGCATGTGTCCAGGCCTTGTTGCTCTTCCCAGAAATGGTCACGTTAGTCCCCTCACCACATCTCCGACTCACTCCCACCCGCTCCATCAGCTCTGTGCTTCTTTAATCTGATCATCATGTCTGACATCATGCCTGGCTAAATAAATCAATGAAGGGGAGGATGGATGAGAGGAGGTACAAACAGATTAGTGAATGGATGGCAGATCGACACGTGGATGGATGGATGGACAGATGGGTAGATGGATAGACGACAGACAGATGAGTGGATGGGAGAGTGGAGTGTGTGTGTGTGTGTGTGTGTGTGTGTGTGTGTGTGTGTGTGTAGGTAATGGACCAATGGATGGACGGGGATGGATGGGTGAGTGGGTGGGTGAATGGGGTATGAGAAAGAGCAGATGAATTTAAAGCAAACAGTAAAAGAAGTATCATTTACAGTGGCCATCACCTCCAGGCCTCTCCGCAGTAACATCTCCTATCCCTGGTGAAGGGAATGTGATTATTTGGGAAACCAGAAATATAATGTAGTGAGTGTAGTATAGAGGGGCGGGAGAGGCAGCCCCAGATGCCATCAGAAGATTCTTGTGAAGAATCCTGGGCAAAGAGGATCTGTAATAGACCTTCCCCTGAGAGACTGGGATTATGGGAAACTCAGACTGGAGCGTGGGCAGAGGTGCGGTGGTGGGACTTGTTATGCCAGAACGGATTACCTATGAAGATGACAGAAGACTTCCGGAGGGAGGCCTGTGGGTTCTTGGCGTACTCCAGGCTCTGGCTGAGGAATGTGAAGATGCTATCTCTCTGAGAGTTGACCTAGAGCGAAGAGAAGCCCCTAAAGCCCTGGGCGCACTATCTCAAAGCTAGGAGCAACTCTTCAACACATCAGCACTGCACTCATGCCAGCTCCCAAGCACCCCCACTGCCCAGGTCTTTGCCCAGATGCCCCAGGGACCAGATTTTGTCTATTTGTCTTGGTTTTGTTGTTGTTGTTGTTGTTTTGGTTTTTCGAGACATGATCTCACTATGTAGCCCTGGCTGTCCTGGAATCACTCCATTGAACAAGCTCTCCTCAAACTCATAGAGATCCACCTGCCTCTGCCTGTGGAGTGCTGGGGTTAAAGGCGTGCACCACCACTGCCCAGCAACTGTGTCTTCTTTTATCTGACAGCAACCCTCATTTCTAAGAGCGTACCATCCCTGGGTCTCCTATCAATCCATCACCCTGATGTAATGGAGGAAAAATTCCAAAATGCCACCAGAGATGGCATGGGGGTGGCGGGCAGAGGGAAACCGGGCTGGCCAGGATGACAGATTGGAGCTGCAGAGCAATGGGTAATGAGCTGGAGGACTGAGGCATCTTAAATGCCAGACACGAATGAGGCATCCTCTTGCACTGGGAAGTGGGATGCCAACACTCACTCACGACTGGCAGTGACAAAGCCGAGGGAACCTGGCAGAGATGCTCAGGGTGGCTCTGCTGCAGAGAACTGGGAGCAGTTGTTCAGCTAAGAGGCTGCTGAGAGGAAAAGAAAACGAATCATCTGCTCACTTCTCACAGCCACGGTTGACAGCCTCTGCAGGCCGAGGCCAAGGTCTGGCAGGCAAAGCCTTCACCATCTCACTGAATCTGACGTCTCCCTTCACTGCCTCCACTGCCGTACTCGTGATGCTCTACAGCAAGTACACGGCCTGCCACAGCCAGCTCTGCCCTGTAGGCTGGTGGGGGTGAAGGCGGGTTGCTCCTGTTTGGAGTACCCTCCCCCCTCCTCCTGATAAATTGCCTCTCCTCCTTCAAGCCTCAGGTCAGAAGCCACTTCCCACCAAACCTTTCCATGACCCTCAGGGAGCACTCACCCTCCATTTTTAATGCTCCTTGCTGCATCTTGGACATCCTCAGCCATGCTACCTAGAACCTCAGCTCAGAAGTGTTGACACCCTTTCTTCCATTGTATACTGAGCTTTTCCCACATAAGGGAACCTTTCACTCGCTCAGAGACCTCAGCACCCTGGACAGAGCTTGTATTGGGGCTGCTTAAAACTTTCACAAGAGGTTGACCATGACCATTGCAAAACACAGATATTTACATTATGATTCATAACAGTAGCAAAATTAGTTATGAAGTAGCAACGCAAATAATTTTATGGTCGGAGGTCACCACAACATGAGGAACTATATTAAGGGGTTGCAGCATTAGGGAGGTTGAGAACTCCTGTGCTAGATAAATGAATGAACTAGATAGTTGATTCGTCCACTGATTAACAGTAAGTCACTGGTCCCTTCTTAAAGCTACAAGTAGAGGTTGGCTTCCTTGTATTCATTCATTCATTTAGAGTAGGGCTGCAGGTAGCCTAAGCTGGCTTCCTCCACCAACACCACCAAGCTAGGTTTATGGGTTGCCAAGGACCAAGCCTAGGTTCTCATGCACGCTTGGCAGGTACTCTACTAACTGTGCTGTGGTACTCAGCCCAAGAATTAGCTTTCACGTGAGCAGAGTTGTTAATGGCCAGGAAAGCAAAGAAGAAAGTGGGAATCCAGAGGGATCGGCCACAGAGGTCACAAACAGACAGCCACAGCACCAGTCTTCAGAGCAGTGTCTAGCACAATTATTTTTTGTTTGTTTGTTTTGAGCAGGGTTTCTCTGTGTAGCCTTGGTGGTCCTGGGCTAGCTTTGTAGACCAGGCTGGCCTCAAACTCACAGAGACCTGCCTGCCTCTGCCTCCCAAAGTGCTGGAAATTACAGGCGTGCACCTCTGTGCCCAGCCATACAGTAATTTTTTAAATATAGTTTGGCCTCTGCTTTTTTTTTTTTTTTTTTTTATAAAAACTCACTCTATAGGACAAGATGCTCCCACACTCATAACGGTCCTCCTGACTCAGCCTGCCAAGTGCAAGGGTTATACCCAGCTTAACATGGTACTTTATTGTGTGTGTGTATCCGTACACAAGTTCATGTGTGAGGGTGAATGTATGTACACGGTATGCACCGGCATGCACAGGGTACCCCAGTCACTAGGAATGCTGCCTGGGAAATGCTAATGCAGGAAGGGGAGTCAGAGGCCAGGCATGGTGGCACATGTGTGAGGAGGCCCGAAGATAAGCCCTTGCTGTTGTTCTGGTGCTGTCCACTTAGTTCTGGTTTGTTTTTTATTTGTTTGTTTTGAAACAAAGTCTCTCATTGGCCTGGAGCTTGCCAGGTAAGCTAGGCTGCTTTTCCAAGTGTGGACTCCCACACCCAAATGGTTTTTGCTGTTGTGTAGGTTCTGAATTCAGGATTGTTGTTGTCGGATTGAACTCACGTCCTTGCATTTGCAAAACAAATCCATTAGTAGTTGAGCTATCCACTGTCTCGAAAGCCCTTACAGCATACTTTTAAGTGAGCTAAATTGACTGTTAATATTTTGTTTTTGGTTTTTTTTTAAATGTAGCTTTTCTCATAGTAAGACGGACCCCAGCTCTCTGCTGCCTTTCATGATGTGTGGCTTTTCTGGCTCCCAGGACACTCTACTTCCACATCACAGAGGTTACTGCCAGGTGACCAGCCGCTGCAGGCATGTGAATTAATGATGTTAGCAAACATTTTTTCCACCCTTCCTTTTCCCTCTCTAATGTGACAGTAATAACAGTAAATGCTAATTACAGAGGCCTTGAGTAAGAGTGTCACTGTTAGCAGGGGTATCTGACCATCGGGGCAGAGAAGATAGTATAGATAGGCTGCAGCTATAACTCATGGGGTCAGTCCCTAGGCACACGGATGGGGGAGTACAGACAGAGAGTGGAAATAGATAATAGGTAGACAGATAGACAGACAGACAGGCAGGCAGATAGACAGAGACAGATAGATAGATGTAGGTAGATAGATGGTTGATAGATGATAGATAAAGATAGGTAGATAGATAGATAGATAGATAGATAGATAGATAGATAGATAGATAGAGAGAGAGATAGATGCTTGATAGACAGAGACAGACAGAAAATATAGACAGACAGACAAATAGAGTTTCAGCTTGGTGGGCATTGAAGGCATCCAGTGATTCAGAGGAAGGAGATGCTAGAGGCGGAGAAGCCAGAGATGGAGATGGCTCCAGAGCCAATAGCTTGTAGTGGTAACATGAACCCCCAGTCACGAGTGTGAAACAAAAGAGGAAGGGAGGGTGAATCCCAGCCCCCAACACCCTTGCAAAGAGTCAGTACACACACAGGAAGCACTCACGAGATACTTGCAAATTTTGGCCACCGTCTGTAGCTGGTTGTCCCAGGGCTTCTGGCTGTAAGCCCTTTTTGGCAGATCCCAATTCATGAAGCAAGAGCAGCGGAACAGGGTCTTCGCACATTTCTACAGACCAATAGGAAGGAAATACCAGCAGTGTGGAATTCCAGGACGGCAAAACCTCCAGGGGACATGCATATAAAAACTGAATTTGGGGGCTGAGGGGATGGCTCAGTGGGTAGAGGTACTTACCCCTCAAGTCTGGCAACTTGGGTTAAGTCCCTGGCACCCATGGGACAGTAGAAGGAGAAAACCAATGCCACAAGCTGTTCTCTGTGCCCTCACTGTGCCGTGTGTGCCCATACTCACACCGCTCTCTCTCCCTCCTCTTTCTTCCTCTCCTTCTCCCTCTCCACCCCCTTTCTCCCTTCCTCTTCCTCCCCCCCCCACACCACATAGACACGAAAAAATAACTAGATTGGACTTTCCCATTTGAAAGATTCACATGGAAGCACTGTGGCTGTAGCTCCTCGGTAGAGTGCTGGCCTTGCATGAACAGCCTAGCTAAGGTTCAATCCCCAGTACTGCCAATAAGTAAATAAAACTTAAAGGAAGGAAAGGAAGACACACGTGAAGGTAGTTCTTTGAGGGGGGGGGGGATTCTGTCTGACGTGCCTCTAGTAAACACACCAGGCTGGACGTAACTGCTTTCCGAGCGAGCCACAATCCCAGCCTGGTTCTGTAAGGGAGGTGGCCCTTCAGGGCCGCACACCTGCACCATCCTCACCTGGCCCACCTTGGCATTGCCCTCCTGCATGACGAGCAGCAGGGGCATTAGCGTCCTGGTCAGCTGCTCCTCCATGGCCTGGGTGCGGGGCGTCTGGAGCTTCTGAACCACTTTGCCATATATGTTGATGCAGGAGACCTGCACCTCTTCTCTTTCCTGGGACAAACACGAGGCTCAGGGGCCCTCTCATCCAGGGGGATGCTCCATGGCCTTCTTTTCCCTCTTTTGCAGGGCCTTCTCAGCATGAAGACAGAGAAGAGCCCAGGCTGCCTGGTACGGCTGACATGGGCCAGCTCTCTCCTCACTGAGCCCACACTTAGTGTTCAGCACTCTGCCCAGCCTATTCTGAAGATGCCTTGTGGTCAGCTGGGAAAATGGCCTCCTCGGTAGAACTGCCAAAAAGGTTCCATTAGGCCAGCCAGTGACAGTAAGCCCACCTTCTCTGGGGAAACTCATCATAAAATAGCTTCCTCCTGGAGAAGCAGTTGGGCCAAGGTGCCCTCTCTCTAGTCTGGATCAGCAATGCCCAGACGCCAGTGTGGAAGAGTAAATAGCGCCATAGTACAACCCCAGGTCCCTCCCCTTCCCGTCCTTCTTCCCCAGCCCCTCCCGACGCCTTACGTCGCTGAAGTGAGGCAGCAGGATCTGCAGCAGCTCCACATAGACTGAGCTGTCCACTGGCTTCTTGCCCTGCTCCTTGAAGACGGCCTTGAGGTCATGGACAGCCTCCACCACCAGCACCCCATCCATGTTCTTCAGGCCCTTCACCATGGAGGGCAGCAGGGCCTGCACCTTGGCCATCTATGGGACAGAAGCATGGAGGTGGGGGTTCTGCCTGGGCCAGCAGATGGGAAATCCAGGCCTCCCATCCACCAAGAAGACCTGGGCGGCCCAGCCCTGTTTTCACCTCCAGGCCTGGCAGGTGCCTTGCCACCTGTTCTGAACTCCCTCCTTTGAGCTCTGGCTGTCCTCTAAAGCCTTCTTTGGTCTCCCTGAGTCCCTCCTGGTGGGTCTCTGGAGGCCTATCCCCTCCTCTGGCCCCAGGTGGACGATATGCTACATGACAAGTTGGCTTTCTAAGTCTATGTCCTGTTCCTTCATCCCAGCTTTGTCACAAGCTGCAACAGTACCTGGTAGGAAAAAAAAAAAAAATGGGGAGTTTCTACGATGCCAGACCTCACTTTTCTGACCCATAAAATAGGAATAATTGCCGGATGTTGGTGGCACATGACTTTAATCCCAGCACTCAGAGGCAGTCAGAGTTAGTTCGAGGACAGCCAAGGCTACACAGAAAAACCCTGTCTTAAACCATTCCCACCCCCACCCCCCACAAATAGGAATAATTACTGCCATTCTACACATTGTCAGCAGGGACACTGAACAAAATATGGATCAGGAAGTGTTGGAAAAGAACATAATACACGGTGATTGTGGTGGCGGATTTATTTTATAGATGGGACCGCCCAAAGTAGGCAGCCACCAGCATCTGGGAGACTGGCAGCTGAGCCCTACCTCCCTCCAGCCCAGGGCTTGGCAGAGCTGGGCTTTACCCCAACCCTGTACTCACCTTCTCAGTCCTACGGGCCAGGATGACGAGGCCCCGGATGGACAGCACATTCATGACGGGGTCACGGTGGCTCAGGCCTTCTACCATCCTCCCCAGGGAGTACTCCTCCGGGATGCGACGCACCTGCTCCATTCGGAACAGCTGAGAGAGCAAACGGCATTGGCTCCTGAGCTGAGGGCTGCATGGCCCACGGTCGTGCTGGGACTCCCAGGCTCCACCTCCCCAGGCTGTGGGCGTGGAGACCTGTCTGCCAGGGCTTTCCACCCACTAGTGATCAGAGACTGATGGGGATGCTAAAGTCATCTCTTCCCTGTGCCTCCCCATTGCCTGGCTCCCGGCCCCCACCTGCCTCTCTGTCCTCCTTCATTCTGTGTTCACCCTGATGCCCACTCCTACATTAGCCAGTCATCTTGCACCATTCCTCAAACGGCCAGGCCAGCTTGTCCCTCCTGTGCTAGCAGGGTGCCCTTCTGCTGGGACAGCCACTTCCACTCTTCCTCCCACACCTCACACAGCTCAGCCTCAACCCTCGCCCTTGAGTCCTGGGAACTATGGGCATCCTCCTGAGGCAGCAGCTAGGAACCTCAGTGCTCCATTTGCCCTTCTGCCACCTGGACATCCGTGGGCTTCCTCTAGAGTGAAAACTCAACCAACTCTCCTTGGGCCATCACTCAACCTAAGAACTGGGGTGGAATGTGTGTTTGTTGGAGGAATCAAGCCCAACCGGGAACTTGGCTCCTCCCCTTCCGAGGACTGCTCTTCTCCCATGTCCCCATTGTGGGCTTAGCTCCATCACCAGCGACAGCCCACTCTCATCTCCCTTTTCTACCTCACAGCCCCCCTCCCTCGGCAGCCTCAGGCTTTGGTTCCCACCACCTCGCCCTCACAAACAACTCTTTATCCCCATCGCTGACAACCACTGCCACTGTGGAGAGTCATGTCTGTGAGATGGGAAGTACTGGGGACAGGAGAGCCTGGTGGAGAGGGCAGGATCAACCAGGTAACCAGAGGGGAGAGAAGGGAGTGGAGGACCACACCATTGTTGACTTCTGCCTGTCCATGCAAGCTACTCAGGCCTGCTGTACACCAAGCTGTGGGCTAGGCCTGAGACACGGAATAACAGCTCCCATCTCGTTTGCTTGCAATGTTGGAAATCAGACCCAGGTCCTCACGTGTGCCAAGCAAGCCTTCTACCATTGAGCCACATCTCCTACGTAGCATTGATAATTTAGTTAATGAATTAATTAAGATAGTTTTGAGACAAGGTCTCACTCCGTACGTAGTCCACGCTGGACTTGGGACTCACTATGTACCCCCAAAGCAAGCCTTGAATGCCTAGCAATCCTCCTGGAGTCTGCAAAGGGCTGCTCCCCAGGAGAAATGACCACAACGTGACTCGAGGCTCTCAATAACCCTCATTGGGTGCCCAGGGCCCCAGGAAGTACCTCCACAAAGAAGGCGGTGCATGTGATCTTGTGTTTATCGTCGCCCCTCTCCAACAGTGGGATGAGCAGGTAGAGGATGCGACACAGCTCCTGGCAGGAGTAGTGCACCATGGCCCTAGGGAGGAGCAAACCCTCAGGCTCCCAGTCCCACAGGCCTGTGGCCGGAGGTCTGACAGTGGCCCTGCAAAGCCTGGCTGGCCAGTGTCGGCGGGGTTCCTGCGACCCCAGCCTTTCCACCCGGGTGATCTCTCTGAGTCAGCTGTGCTTAACGGTTCTTTAGACAGATGGGAAAATCGAGGTCCAGAGTGGAAGACGACTTGGCCTAGGACAGTGTGTGGGGTCTCACTCATGGAGGCCAGCAGCAGCCGGCTTCCCCCTTGTCATTTCATGGGTCTCTACACCACCTTTCCACATAGGCTGTTTCATTTATCCCCAGTTCACAGAGGGATCCAAGGCTCTGAGTGGGGCTGGCTTAGCTCCTGAAGCTGGAAAAGCAGCAGAGGTGTGGGCCCAAATAAAAATTCCCACTCCAGCTGCCTTGCTCATCCCACTGAGGCCCACCCCCACCCCACCCACACAGCCAGCATCGGCACCACATGGAAAACTGCCTGAATGCACAGGCTCAGGACCCCATTGGGGTGAGAACTCAGGGCAGAGCACAGCCAGGTAAGATGACCCAATGCTTGCTCCCCTCTAAGGACCAAGCAAGCATGGTGCTCCATGGGTCACCGAATCGAGCAGAGTGCCTATTGCATACGGAATTGATGTTGACAGAGTCTGGTTTCAAATCCTGGTTCCAGCATTTGCTGTGTGATTTGGGGCAGGCACTTAAAATCTCTGGGCCTCAGTTTCCTCTGTTTAACCCTGACATGGTCAAAGCACTGTCTCTTCGGTGCTGGTGAGAACCAAAGTGGAGGCATCCATGTAGCCCATTTTTGCAGGGTGTCTCAAGAACAGTTGGTTCTCCACCTTGTGGTTGTGTCCTGAGTGAGCCCAGGGGAGAGACTCTTCTAGCAGGAGTCACAGCACCAGGACCACAGTCAAGATGCCCCAAGGGAGGGGGTGTGTCTTTGGAGAGGGAGTGCTAATCTGAGTGCTAGTCATTTTTCACTCTGTGGCCTCGGATAGACGACCCAGCCATGTTCTTATGCAAAGCTAGCATTTGTAATCCCTGGCCTGCCCCAGCCTCCGTAATGGTAGCCTGTGCTGCTCTTAGGGTCAAACTCTCTCTCCGGAGCAAGTCTTCCTAGCGTTTGCCTATTACTCACAGGGAATAGAGGCCAGAGTGGAGCACCATAGAGTGGAGCACCATGGAGTGGTGCTCCAGCTGGGAAACGGCTGAGGTTCAAACTGAGGTAGGTTCAAGTAGCCTACCTCCACGACCACATTGCCAAAGAGACCAATTACCCCACCATGTTTGTGTTTAGTGTAAGAGCAGAGGTCACAGCCTGGTAAGGAAGGGAACTGTTTTGTTCTGTTTGAAACAGGGTCTCACTATGTAGCCCTGGCTGTCCTGGAACTCACTATGCAGAAGTCGCAGAGATCCTCCTGCCTCTGCCTCCTGAGAGCTGGGGCTCAAGGGGAATGCTACCATGCCAGGCTGACAGAGAGAGCTCTTAAGTATGCGGGCCACAGTGCTCATGTGGAGGTCAGAGGACAACCAGTGGGAGCTTTGCCTTCCCTCATGTGGGTCCAAGGAATTGAACTCAGGTCGGCAAGCCTTGGCAGCAAATGCCTTCACTCACTGAGCGTGTCACCAGGCCAAAAGGGGAAGCCAACTACGTCAGGGATCTACAAACTCAAGGAACCACCATTCCAACCAAGCTTGACTCCCAAGAGCGAATGTCATCTTTCACACTGGTGTTGTCCACTGCTAGGACAGTATCCCCCAAGCTGCGGTGGAGAGGTGAGAGAAGAAGAAGAGCTGTTTCTCAGAGATGCAAGCTCAGGCCTGTTTGAAGATCCAGAGGGCCCACCCTGCCCCACCCTACCCCACTGAGGAACCGCACCTTACCTTGCCAGCAGGGACACTCCCCTGTAGTGGTTCTCCGCCTGGCCCATGAGCTCCCAGCCACCCTGCTCCTCCAGAAACTTGGACTCATAAGAACAGCCCATTTTCAGTAGCAGGGTTTTCACCACCTTCACCATCCAGCTGCCGAGACAAGGGGTGAAGTCTCCTGTCCACTGGGTGCCTTCTTCTACCTGGCCCCTCTTGTCAGGGCTCCCATCAATCCCCATGAGCTCCTTGACACCATGCTACTCTTAGCAGTGTGCCCTGGGGCCACAGCAGGAGACTCTTTACACGTGACACGTCACTCTCAGAACACGAGAGGAAACTAGCAAAATCCCCTTCCGCCTTCTCTTTCTCAGGGGACCTGCTTACTGGAGGGGCTGGCTGGGGGGCCAAGCTTCCCCGGCTTCCTATGTCTTGCCTCTCCCCTTCTCCAGCCCCCATCTCCAGCCTTCATGCGCCATGGCTGCCTTGGCAGCCTGTGAGACAGTCCTCTCTCCTCTCCTGGGCACTCAGTCTCCTGCCGGTCCCTGAGTGTCTGTCTGCCTCAGGACCCTTCCGGAAGGCTTCCACCTGGATGCCTAGGAGAACAGCCTGGAGAGCTGTCATACCCTGGTGGCTGAGCAGAGCTCAGTGGTTCCAAGTGAGCTCAGGGAGCCCGGAGGCTGCCAATGCCTGTTAACAACCACCTGTCTGTCTAGCCCAGTCTATTGTCACTTAAGGTGGGAAGCCATGGGCCATATACTCTTGGGATAAATTCTGAGATGGGATACATTCTGAGGAAGGCCTCAAGAAATGGCGGGTTTGAGGTTGAACATCATGGTGTATATTCCAGCTTACATGGCGCCGCCCATATTCGCGCCGGGCTCTTTATGGCTTTAGGGGAATCACCATTGCCGGGGCACAGTCCAAGAACGGAGTCACGTGAGAATTCTGAGCACTTGTGAGAAAACTCAAAAAACAAAAGAAGAGTCTTGTGACCTCAGTTTCTTCAAAAGACAGAATTGTTCCTGAAATGTTTTTGAGCTCCTCCCAGGTAGTGGATAGGAGTGAGTTTACTTCCGATTACTCATTATTGCTTGGAGATGTCATTCAATTAAATATTTGAACTATCCTTTATGAGCCTCTATGAAAAACATGTTTTAACCACGCTCAGCTTGTCCTTGTGATTGCCTATAGCTTGAACTCACGAGAACTTTCTTAATCCTCAGAGTGACCTATCTTAATCCTCAGAGTATGAATTGTCTGGCGCTCTGAATAAAGTTGGCTGTTTTGTGAGAGTCCTTCCCATTTATCCGCTCCATTCTCCCAAGCCCCACTGCCTATGGAGTGGTGAACACACCACCAATAGATTCGGCCTTTCATTGACCAAAACATCAGCAGAGGCTCATAACTGTGATGATAAACTGTTCAAATAAGAAGACCTTGTGTGGAATCGGTTCCCAGCAAACCTAAACATCTGCTTAAAGATTTCATGAGGCCCTTGTAGACATAACTCCCGTGCTACTGAGGGATGTTAGTTTTGGGGATTCGAGACAGATTTTAAGCCAGACTTGGTGGCAGATGGCTGCCATCCCAGAACTCAGGAAGGGGAGGCAGAAGAACCCCAAAGTCAGGGACAGCCAGGGCAACAAAGCGAGACCCTGTCTCAAAAATGTCAAAGGCAGGACATGTGACAGAGGGCTTTCAAGTATTCGAGGCCTGTGTTCCCTTAAGATACTACGAGGAGGCCCATTGCTTCATGCGCCAGTTTCCTTGCTTGGAGAAGCACCTTGTCCTCTGAGTCCTCCAAAGCTACCTCCTGTCTATATCTGAGGGCTTCCTCTTCTCACAAGGACCATGGCATGGAATTCAGGGCCCATCTAGTTAACTACACCCCTAAAAACCACTCTTCCAAATCAGGTCACAGTCACGGGTTCCAGGTGGATCTATAACTTTGGCCGCTATTCCCTTTCTTCACCCAGGCACCATCTTGGGGCCCTTTGACCCCATCAGTCTGGTACTTGACTCCTCTGTTTCTGCTGCCATTCCCCATGGCTGTGAAGAAGGTAGGATGGGCTGTCCCCATGCTGTGGTAAGGTGGGCCGCCATGGGTAGGGTGAATCGATGGTAGGGTGAAACCTACCACGCTGTAGGTTGGGTGGGCTAGCCTGTGCTGTGGTTAGGGTAGGCTGTCCATGGGTAGGATGGGCTTTCACTGCACTGTGGAAGGGTGAGCCGTCACACTATGAATGAGGTGTTCTGTCATTGGGCTGTGGGGAGGGCGTGCTATCCCGTGCTGCTGGTAGGGTGGGCTGTCGCCATGGCTACGGGGTAGGTAGGTACGCTGGCTTCCTTCCTGGCCCTGTGTCTCGGCTGAGGTGAAACCCCCTCTCGTGGAGGCCATGACCTCCCTCACTCCCAGGAAAGGATGCTTCCATCTGCGCTCTTCCTCCTACTGCGGCTGAGGCACCCCTCCATCCCTTGCTCAGTTTCCCAGGAACCTAACAGCCCCAGAAAGCAGAGGGAATGCTGCAAGCAGGCAAGGAGATGACAGGTGTCTAGTGAGGCTCTTAGTCCTCACACCCGTTAGACAGAAGCCAGCCAGAAAGACCCCCCCAAGAGGTTAGTTGCCTAAAACACAGAGCATAGACAGATCCACATCAAAGACCTCCGGCCACACAGCTGTGCCCTCTGTCATTCTAAATCTGCCTCTGTGTGTGCAACACACAAAAAGATGCGCAAGGGAAACTGATGAACACATCGTGAAAAATATTTAACTTTTCAAATGACAAAAAAAAAAAAAAAAATCACAGGTTAAGTGGCCAAATTTAGTATAAATGACAGAGTTAATATTCTTAATGCAATGAGCTCTCACAAATTAGCAGGGAAAATAAAAACATAAAAATAATTAAAAAAGCAAATTACTAAGAGGAATCCCCAACAGGCCTATATGAAGGGGCAGAGGGCAAGGGCAATCCGCTCACATAAATGGAACACAAATGCCATGTAAATATTGGCTTCTTTTAAATGAGAGAAATGAAAACTAAAACCCCAGCACACACGCACACTCACGCGTGTGTCGACAGAACCCTGCCATCCCAGCCCTCAGTATATGAAGCGGGAGGATCATGACTCCTTTTAAAGACCTCATCTCAAAAGGGGGGGGGGGGGGGGGAGGAAGAAATCCATTTTTTTGCAATACAGATTAGCAAAAGTAGAAATGCTCTGTGATGCACTACCCTAGAAAAGACGTGGGCGTGGAGGCACTGGCGCGGGCCACAACCACCAGTGGCGGTTTCCTCCGTGCACACTGGCAAGAGGGACAGTTGAGGAATTACTCCATTTTAATTGGTTTGTGTGAGTATGTGTGTGTGCATGCGTGTTCTCCTGTGTGGATGTGCGGTGCATTCCACAGCGTTTGCTCAGGGAACTTGCGGGAACCAGGTCTCTCCCCCCCACCGCGTGGGTCGTGAGGACGGAACTCAGGCTGGACTTGGCAGCTGAGTTGGCCCCTTTATCTGCTGCTTCGTTTACAAATTTCCGTCCCTCGCTGGTCAAGAGCATTTTTCCATCACGAGTCTCTACTCCAGTTTACTACTTCCACGCAGAAGCCCAGGACGCCCACCCTCGCCTCAGGAGCCCATTCTACACACACAGTCACACACACGTGTCTACACCTGCAAGCTCACACCAGCGCCATCCACAAGGGGCGGGGCGGGGGGGGGAGCAAGGAAGTGCCTGAATCGGGGAGGAGGGGCGAAAGGATGCCCCTCGGCTGTCACGAACAAGGAGACAGCAGGATGCACGAAGATCTCCGAGACTTGATTCGGGGTGGGAGCGGCTGCGCCCCTGGGTCGCAGGCTGGCACTTGTGTAAAATGGAGTATAAACCCGCATGCCCATCTATGCTGACTACCCCTGAAGGGGCATTAAAAAAAAAAAAAAATCTGCTTGTTTCCTGGGAAGGTGTCCGGGGTATGGCCAGGAAGAGGAGAGTTGGGGCGAAAGGAGAGATGTCTGAGGGACCCTTGGCTGGGCAGCCACTGCCAGGACAGCAGGGTCTGAAGATGATGGCTCCTACCGCACAGGTACGAGGACAGGAGTCTGCGAGTCATCCCTGAAGTCCTTCCGGGAAGCCATGCGGCTCGGGAGGTTGAAGCCGATGTGGTAGTGCACCTGGATGAGCAGGGCCAGGAGCAGCTGCGGGTAGATGCGCCTCACGCGGCCAACGCAGCTGTTGACGGACAGGAGCTCGCACAGGCCGCTGGCTGCCTAGGGGTGGAGGGGAGGCGAGTGGCTTGACCTAGTCCATCCTCCCAGCACTGCCGGCTGCAGCCTAGCCCATTGCTCTGAGAGATCGGGACTGTTTCTGTAATCCAGCCTAGAAAAGCTCGGTGCTTGGTCCTCACCGCCAGGGGCACGATTGAGGCCCGACCCTTCTTGGTGACAGGCTTCTCCTTCAGGCTAGTCAGGAGCAGATCCAGCAGGTCTCGGACGTCACAGCTGGGCTTTCGAAGGATCAGCTGCCTCCACATCTCTGCCCCATTGCTAAGGAAGAGGGAGGTTAGTTAGTGATGCCCAGGGCAGGGGCCCCCCGATGCCCTAGGTGGTTACAGAGATAGGGTGCAGTGCCAACGAAATGGTATCTGTGAGCACACCCACAGGGATGGTTCTGAAAATGCTCCCCCGTCAGGCAGGAGGAGGACCGTGACTGAAAACCTTGTTTCCAGGTCTCGGACCAGGTGCTTTGTTCTCACGTATGATTACTGCGCGTGCACCAGGCACTGAGCAAGTCCCTTCCGGTACAGACGCAGACGCTTAGGAACACTCAAAGCGGCTCACTTCTCACCCTCTCGAGAGCGTGTTACTCCCATTTTACAGGGGCAGAATGGAGGCTGGGAGATGTAAACGCCATCAGCCCAAGATGCTGCTACCGCTAACAGCCTACAAGATGTCATCACATCCGCTGTCTCCAAAGCTGCCCCCTAGAGAGCAGGAGCTGAGGCCACAGAGCCCTTTGGAGCCTGGATCTTGCCCTTATCAAGGACTCCCAGGAGGCACAACTCCTGGCCCTGTGCAGGAAGCCACCCACACAGGAGGAACAGCAGCACCCGGAGATAGCCCTGCTGTGGGCAGCTGACAGTGAGCTAAAGGGTTAATGAAACCTTTTTATTATTTTTTCTCCTGAATACAGGAGAGTCTGAACCTTCCACTCACTTCCAAGATCTGTTCCCCTGGAAACCCAATAAAGATAGTATTTCGACTATGTTGCTAGGCAACATTGCTTATGGTAAAAATGGTCATGTTTATGGCTGCTTGGTACATGGCATCTGGCTGTAAGAACTAATGGGACAGCTAGAGCACGGAGCTTCCCATGGACCGTGATCCTTGTAGCTGGGCTAGTCTCTGAAGTGATGTAGAAAACAAGCTTTGTGTAAGAGATGCTGAGCTCTGGGACTCCCTCCATCCTGAGAAGCTAGCTTCCTGACCAAGACCTGAGACCAGAAGAGAAGAGAGAGGTATGTAGGAAATAAAGGGAAGGAGGGCCTCACTCTCAGGCTCACAAAGAACGTCAAGTCAAGGGCAGGCCTACTAATCTAGTGACCTTCAGTGGAGCACAAAAGAAACCTTCGGGGGCTGCAGCTCAGAGGTAGAGCACTTGGGTAGCAATGACCTAGGTTCCATGCCCAACACTGAAAAGATAAGAAAGAGGAGGAGGAAAAGGCTCTAAAGTAATTCCAGTGCCTGAAAGTAGGAGGCAGGAGGATTGCCATGAGTTTGTGGCCAGCCTGAGATACATATTGAGCACTGCCCTCTACTCTCTCTCTCTCTCTCTCACACACACACACACACAGGGGGGAAGGCAGGGGAAAGAGAGGGAGGGAGAGAGACACAGAGAAAGAGAGGCAGAGAGAGACAGAGAGAGAGAGAGAGAGAGAGAGAGAGAGAGAGAAGAGCTCCCCCTGTCTCCCTGGTGGGCAGTGCAACTACAATGGCTGACTCTTAGGCTATACACCTGGATTTCAGGGTTCCCACTGACCATCACTCCTTCTGACCTGTCCCTATCCGAACACACCCCTCCCCTCTTGCACAGCTCTGCATTTGCTTCCACGTTTACTCAGAAAAAAACATCCTAAGTTGTCCCTTCCTGTTGCGTTCATTTAAAGAAGGGACTGGCTGAAAGGCCATGTCCAACAGGCTAAAGGGAGCTAGACTTATCGTTTGCCACCATCTGGCCGGTTCCTCTTCATCCCAGATAAGGAGCTGTATGGAGGCAGCGAGCAGGGAGCCACCTGCTCCTACTGTGGAGCAGTTTTCCCCACAGGGAAACTGAAGCCCAGAGAGGGCACAGGAGCACCTCCCATAAGGAAAGGATTCCAGGCTTTGGAGCCAGTTGGACCTGAGCCTAGAACCTCACTCTAGCAATGCCTCAGTGTTAGTGGAGGCCAAGAAACATCTCCGGAGCCTCGATTTCACATCTGTAGAACAGGGCCGAGTCCGTAATGTGAGACTCTCCGGATTTTCAGTACAGAGCCAGCCACCTTCAGAAAGTGCTTACTGGCTGTCCATAAGTACCACAGACTGCTTAGAAAGGGCAGAGGAGGGCGGGCTTCTCTGGACAGGAATCGTGTCTCAGCCTAGGACAGGACCACCTCGGCCCACTGAGGTGTAGAAGATGGATGAGATGTAGGAGCCTTGCTTGGTACCTGTCCAGTGGCAGGGGGCACATGAGCAGAGCCACCACAACCTCAGTCATGAAGGAGCTGGCCAGGAAGGAGATGGGCAGCAGGGCTACCTCACGCGCCCGCGGCTCCTGTATGTGGCTCAGTTGCATGTAGATGCCCTGCATGATTTCTGGGATCTGGAGGTAGCCACGAGCAGGTACCAGGAAAGGTCCATTGGAAAAGCAGAGAGAAACATGAGGAGCAATGGGCGGATGGACGAAGGACATAGGGTGGAGTAAAAGGGGACCAAAAGGGCAGGGGAGAAGGGCACAGTGCAGGAGAGAAGTGGGAGTAAGATGTGCAAGGGCCTGCTGCTCCCCTGCTCACTCCCCTGGGAGTGAGATAGCCCATTTTTGCTGAACTTCCCACTCCTACTAAGCCATCTCTCAGGGTTAGTACATACTCCTTCCTAGTCTAGTGCTCAGCTCCAACCCTGTCCACAGGCAGGCAGGCAGGCAGGCTATCCAAGCATAAGCAGGCTCCCAGGGGTGGGGGACTCTCCCAGGCCTGGTCATATCCTCCAGCTTCTGCCTCCAAGAGGCCTTACCACCTCCATCGCCCTGTGGCGGTACCACTCCAGCACCGAGCTGAGCATGACCTCCGAAGCCAGCTGCATCATCTCCCCGGCGTCCTTCCCCTGGGCTTCTGAGATGTCCTTCAGGCCTTCCAAGGCTGCTAGCAGCAGGTCCCTTACCTGATGGGGCCCCAGGAAGTCTCCAAATTCCTGAAACATAGGTGCAGAGATCTTGAGGCTGCTAAGTGGTGCAGATTCCCCAAGACATATATAAAAACATAGACTCCACCCAACTTGCAGAGAGGGTCAGTGCCAAGCACCGCAGACAGTCTCTAAGGTTGAACGTTAGAGCTACTGAAGAGGAGCTCAGAGTGACAGACAGGCACCAAGGAGCCTCCTGTAGCCACAGCTGCTTCAGAGGCTGTGGACTGGTGAGCCCGGGAACTGGAGACTAGCGTGAGGAGAAAAAGCAAGTCTCTATCTTTAAAGTAAGAAAAACAGCAAAGGAAAAGGAAGGAGAGGAAGAGGCAGAGGAGGAGGGGGAGGAGGTGGTGTAGGAGGAAAAGAAAAATGAGGAGGAGGTGGAGAAGGAGAAAGAGGATTAGGAGGAAAAAGAAGAGGAGGAGAAGGGAAGCAGTGGGAATATGGTCCCTGCACCCACAACTGGCTGGCATGTACCTTAGAGAAGAAAGTCATGGGCTAGCCCAGTACCTCTCAACCTTCCTAATGCTGTGACCCTTTAATACAGTTCCTCATGTTGTAGTGACCCCTGGCCATAAAATTATTTCGCTGTCACTTCATAGCTGTAATTTTGCTACTGTTACGAGTCGTAAATATCTGACATGCAGCATATCTGATATGTGACTCCCAAAGGGATCTCGTCCCACAGGTTGAGAACCACCGGGCTAGAACGTAGAGAAGGGAGGAGGGCACCCAGGAAGGCTGGGTGGCCGGGGGAGGCATCCTTCCTAGGATACTTCCCAGTGGCCTTCCTAGCAGCAAGTCCGTCTCCCTCCCGTCCTGGCCTGGGAGACTGCAGGTAGTTACCGCAATGACACGCAGAATGTTCTGGCACGGGCTGACAGGGTTGTAGGGACCCAAGAAGTGCTTGTTGTTCTCATAAAGCTCTGTCTTGTTGGTCTCTTCCTTGTCCTTGGTCCCTGCAGGAGAAGGAATTACCTGAGGAGCCCAGACCCCACCATTGCCTTAAATTGTCAGTTAAGCCCATGTCTCCCACACAGTCCATTTTCATATAGTGGTACCCAAGTCAAGAAACAACACAGGCAGCATCCCAGAAGCCCCTCCTCTGAGACCTCTCAGCACCCAGGGCAACCACTGTTCCAGTTTCTGGGCCACTGGGTAGAGTTCTTTGCTTTTGAACTTCTCATAAATTGGACTCACGTAAACTGATCCCTCGGGTCCGGTTCTACCCTGCAGCACCCGGCACTTGCTTTCATTCTCAGTGTGGTACAATTTTCCATGCTGGGAGGGCCCGTGGTGTGCATGCCTGCCTTACTTGGCACACGCCTCCGGCTGCTTCCAGCCCTCCTGAACAGTGCTGCTGTGAACACACAGCACATCTCCCGGTGAATATATCTACACTCCTGCCAGGGATGTGCCAGGCACAGTGGGCCCAGGCTCACCCTCCCAGGATACAGGAGACAGCTTCCCAGCCCTGTTTCCACCAGCACCGTGTGAGAGTTCCTGCCGCTTCAGCCCAAGGCATTATCTGTTTCATTTTGTTATTGCTATTCTGATAGGCAGTGGCTTCTCTTTTTTTTTTTTTTTTTTTTTTTTTTTTTTTTTTTTTTTTTTTTTTTCTTGTTTCCTTTTTTCTTTTCTTAAGACAGAGTCTCACTATGTACCCCTGACTGGTCTGGAACTCACTCTATAGACCAGGCTGGCCTTGAACTCACAGAGATCCACCTGCCTCTGCCTTCAGAGTGCTAAGATTAACGGCGTGCGCCCCTATACTTGCCTCCCTCCGCTTTCAGTCCTGGGATGGAAGCCAGGTCCTGGCTCACTCTAGACAAGGACTCTAACCACTGAACACCCATAGCTTTGCAATACAATTTCTGGGTCAAGCTGCTTCTGTGTTGGGAGCGGCGTTTTTATTTGGTTGGTTTACTGTGGCTTCTGTTTGGTTATGTTGAGACATGGAGACCCACGTGATTGAGGCCGGCCTCTGTAGCTGACGATGGCTTCAACTCCTGATTCCCCTGCTGACGCCCCACCCCCAGCGCTAAGATTACAGTTTCATTTGCACTAGTCCGTTTCATTTGTTTTTAGAGGCAGGATCTCTAGTCCAGGGTGGCCTCAAACTTTCCATCCAGTGCCGGGATTGCCGGCATGTGCCATCAGGCCTGGCACCGGCGATGGCATTTGAAATGTGTCTGCCGTTTTTGTTCCCTCTCTGCTTATCACCTGGCTCACTCTTGTGTTTTACTTGTTTGCTTTTGCCTATTGTCTGTCTCTTGACAACCAGAAGGTAAGCCAAAGGAAGGAGTCCTTATTGAATCTCTTCTCAAAGCTGTGTCCCCAGAGCTGTGCCTGGCACACAGGCCCTCCAGATCTTCTGTAAATGGAAACCCATTTGGGGTCTCTGCCCTCCTCAGAGCCAGGCCCGAGTCCTGCTTGGATCCACTCAATCTACACAAGGCCTGAGCACAAGAAAGGATCAACAGGGCAGTGTGAGTGCATAAAGCATGCTCTGTCAGCAGAGAGGAGCTGGCGCTCTGGAAGCAGGCAGAGCCAGCTCCAGCCCTAGCCTGTGCTTTCCACAGACTGCCAACCCAAGCTAATGCCCTCCTCCTCAAGAGGCAGTGTGGCCTGGGGCTCTCCCAAAGAATTCAGGGCGCTCAGCTCAACCTGAATTGCAGCAGGACAGATCATACTCAAAAGCATTAAAAATGACTCATTGTCCACCCGAAATGAGATTAAACTGAACGACCTACATTTTCAGCCATGCTATGCCCACCTCAGAGCTGATCAGCATTGTAGCCTACCTTTCACCCACCATCTAAGGGTCATGAACAGCCTCAGGTCAGTGGAGGAATCACTCAGGAAATGCTAGAAATGAGAAAGAGCGGGGACCCCAGACACACCCCAGAAGTGGGAGGGGGGGAGGATGAAGACAGCTCCATCTGACAAGTGCCTATTAATTAATGTTTCAAAAAGCTATGAATTACTCTCTACTGTAACCCTGGGCCGATGAGGAAATCTAGGCAAGCCAAACGCTTGCCTGAGGTCACCCAGCTGGGAGTGTCAAGAGCCAAGGCCAGGTCTGATATGCAGGCCACTCTGCCTCCAGAGTCAGGGGAATCTAAGAAACCAGCCAAGGTTTCGTGGTTGAGGAAGAATCAGGAATTAGGAGAAAGTCGGGCAAGAGGCCGGAGGCAGTTGAACTGGGCAGCCCCGGGAGCAATAGTTTCATGCCATCTCGTGGGCTCCCTAAAATTTAATCTCAGGATGTTCTCACATAGGACCTGGCCTTCATTAGCTCCCAATGCATATCCACCAAATAAGGCCGCATGCCATCCCAGGGCTAGACATTGGAAGAACAGAGAACCTTTGCCTTACCCTCATGGTATTACAGTCTAGTAGGAAAGACAGACAAGCTGTCAGGACCATCATGTGTAAGTACACGTGGTACCATGGGAAGGAGAGCTTAAGGCTGGGACCATACGGCAAAGTTCACCCATGGAAGGACAGCTTCCATCAATACAGATCTGTTGCCCAACATGGCAGGGCATGCCCGTAGCCCCAGGACTTGAGAAGCTAAGACAGGAGGAGTAAAAGTAGGGGGCCAGCCCAAGCTCTACAGTAAGACCCTGTCTCAGAAACAAAACAAACGTTAAAAGTGAAGGCTAGTTTGATCTCTGCTCCTGGTTCTGCGGAGACTGGGGGCCCCGATCCCCACCTGACCCTTGCTGCCTGCGGCCAGCTTCCCACTGTCCCACCGTGCTCCCCTCCCCGGCTGTGCAGAGCTAAGGGCCTGACTTGAGCATACGTTTCTGGAGAACCAGGATAGTGTAGAGGATCGTGATGCCGTCCAGAGCCTCCCGGCCGATCTCCTCATCAGGATCCCCGATTCGAAGGAGCAGCCTCCCCAGCAGGAAGCCCAGCATTGGGAACCCCGAGGACATCTGTCGGTAGAGGGAGACTGTAGCCACACCGCAAGCAGAAGGCTGAGAAGGGTCACCGGAGTGTCCGCCCCTCCAGGGACACTCACAAAGAAAGGCAGGGTCACCAGCATGTGGTTCAGCACGGAGACGTTGCTGTTCACAGCCCGTGCTCGCTCATGAGCCTTCCCAGAATTCATCCAGGGCCCCAGAGGCTGTGGGGACAAGGGAGAGACTTCGCTGCCATGGGCTACCAGCCCCCGCTGCTTGGTGGGTAAGCCAGTGATCTGCAAGAAGCTTCCGGAAGAAATAAGAATGCAATTTGTCACTGTCCTCCCTCCGGCGCCTCCTCCTCTGGAGAATCAACGACAAGACAGGGTTTGAGCTGAGACTAGAACTCAGAGCAGAGGGAGGGGCAGAATCAGTGAAGAGATGAAAGAGGAAGAGACAGGGAGAAGGACGGAGAAAAGGGGTGGGGCTAGAGCAGTAGCCACAAGGGGGTAGCTGTGGGGGCATCGTGGACAGTCAAAGGACAGGGCTCTAAAGCCTGTCGTTCCAGGTACACAGGAGGCTGAGACAAGAGGGTCAAAAGTTCAAGGCTATACTGGGCAAGTCAAGGAGACAAATGTGTACAAACAAACAGTTAAAAGCCGGCTATGGGTGTAGCTCAGTGGTAGAGAGCCTGCGGAGCAGGTGCGAGGACTTAGGTCTAATTCCCAGTATCACCAAAAACGAAACAAAGTAGCAAAAGTCAGGGAAGCAGAGTACTGGCTCAGGATGCCCTCCTAAGTCCGAGACACACCATAGGGTTCGGACCGCCCACTTCTATGCGCCCCTTCCCTGTTCCCCTCTCCCTTCCTCCTCCTCCTGCCCAGCCTCCAGGCCCTGCACCTCCAGGATGCTCTTCAGCCCAGCAGGAGTGGGGTCTTCAATAAAGAGGGCATTGAGCAGCTTCTGCAAGGAATCCAGGGTCTGGTGGTAAAGCGTCTGTGGACAGAAGGAAGATGGAGCTGCTGGGGGCAGCCCCAGACTCCACCGGGGTGGGTCCAGAAGGAGGACGCACTTGGACACACACAAGCTGCTTTCCTGCCTCCCCCCCCCCCCGCGCCCCTGTCTCGAGCCAGACGAGGGCCTGGTCATCTGAGCACCCTCTGTCATTTTCGTCCTTAAGTTCCTCTCCTCGTTTTTTTACAAATCCAGGAACACTTGTTGCAGGGCAAGGAACAGAGTGTTACAGGCCAATTCTCCGAAGACTGTTGGGGCTGCCTCTTGGCTGAACTGTTACTTCTAGACCCATGTAGATCCCCCAGTTACCCTTAGGGAGGCCATCTCCTTGCTGCCCAGGCTCCCACTCCTTTGGCCATACCACGTTGATTTCTGGTATGTACAGGCAAGGCTGAGCGGTGCTTTCAAACTGCTCTGCGAAGACCCTCTCTTTCTTACCTCCTGTCCTTCTGCTGGCTTCCCAAGCCTATGCCTTGCGTTGTCATTGTCCCATTGCTGATTCTACACACTCTGGAGCCAGTGGCCCACCAGGCAAGCCTAGAGCCAGCTACCCCCTTCCTGCCCATTGCTGCCGCTTGTTGGGCACCACTGCCCTCTGCTGTCAGCCCTTGTAACTACAGAGGGCTGCCTGCTGCTTCCTCAGCACAGTTCCTGGCCATTCCGTTGGGTCCTCTCTGCGCAACGGCTTGAAAATCCACAAGCCAGAGGTTATCTGTCTGTGTGGTCTGACCCCTACCAGCTCTACAGCTTCTCCTCAGGGTCTTTGTCTCACCCTCCAGGCTCCAGCCACACAGACTCTTGCCATCCTGGCAGATGGCATGGGTTCTGTATGCCACCCTCTTTCTCTAAGCCACCTTCCTTCAGGGAACCATGTGCCATCCTCCACGTGCTGTACTCTTTTGGCACTGACCACCCCTGAGGTTTTGCATTCAACTGGTTCTTCGACAGCATCCATCTCTCCCACCCTCACACCTCCTATGAGACTACCATAGTGTTCTGGAGGGGGACGAGGTTAACACCTGCTGAGTGAAAGGGTGGCTGAGCATCTGGGCTCCCTCTCACTCAACCTCCTGCCTGACCCTAGCTCTTCTTGCCTCCCATACGAAGCACCCCTCCCTTCCTGGCTCTACCCACCTCCGGGAAAAATTCTGCAGAGACTTAAAGATGCTTGCTGAACCTCCTTTGGGGTTCTGTTTCTCCGGGCCTTTGCCCAGTTTTCCCCAGTCTTCTTCCATATGGCCCAGCATCCTTAGTAGTACCCTCCCACCCTGGCCACTCTCTATGACCTTGCAGCGTCGGTGAACAGAGTCCTCCTAAGGAGCCACCAATGGCAATAATTCACTCACTTGCTGAATAGCCATCAAGCAATGGGTTCAGATGGACACAGATGAGGTGAGTTGCTCTAGGCTACACAGCCAAGGAGTGGGGTGGGGGGAGGCTGTCTCCAGAAAGCCCCCGCTTGTCCCCGTGAGGACGTCCCAAACCTAAGGGCCCGCCAGGAGGGCCAGCTCACCTGGATGACTTCCGCCCTGGCCTCGTCCTTCTCCTGCATGCTCTGCACTGAAGGCAGCGGGAACACGCTCCGCAGGCAAGTGTTCACCAGGTCCGCCCTCTCCCGCACGCTTAGGGCGGGCTTAGTGTGGCTGCGAGAGACGAGGTGTAAGGCACGGAGTGAGGAAGGGCCCAGGGAAGCAGGGTGTAGGAGAGCACCCGACTCAGCCCAGGCCACGCGAGATTTGGAGCCACAAGGGGGCAGGAGGAGATGGGAGCAAGGGTGTGGAAGAGGCCTGTTCCATGGGTACTGGGCAGGGGGAGAAGGGGCATGGGAGAAGAGGGCGGAGCTGGGAAGAGAGAGCTACCTCAGCTGGGTCAGGATCTCCATGGCTTGCCGTCGGGTGGGACTCAAAAGGGAATCCAGTGGCTCCTCCTGAATCTGCCTCTGAGGACCACAGAGCCAGTGAGAGGCAGCTGTGGCTGACTTCCGGGGTTAGACAGCAGGCCACGTGGGCCCTGGCCTAGGCACACTGTCCTGCTGGACAGGCAGGAGAGCAAGCTTTCTGCCCACCATCTCAGGACCATTCAAAACACTCTATGCCCTGATCTGTGGGTCCTGTATAGAGAGCTCAATGAGAGTAGTTCCCGGGGTTTGGGGCTGGGGGACCTTCTGCTTACTGACAGCTAAACCATGGGACTGACTCAAGTAAGGAGCTACAGATGTGGCCTTTGAAAGCTGTCCAATCAAATTCCTCAAATGTCCTCCTACTTTTCACTTTGTATCTAAAAACCTACACACAGTGGGGGGTTCAACCAATGTTAGCTAAAGTTAACTATCGAAGGAAGGAACTTTCTCTTTTTCCGCGCATTGTGTATAGGCAGACGTGTATGTAAGGTTTGTGTATGTGTGTTTACTTGTGTGTGTGTCCCTGTGTCTGTGTGTGTGCATGCGTGTGTGTCCCTGTACACATGTGTGCAGAGGCCAGAGGGCATCATTCTTCTGGAGCTATTCATCTTGGCTTTTGAGGCAAGGGCTCTCACTGGGATCCGAAGCTGATTAGTTAGGCCAGAAAACCTGTGTTTGTCTTCTCAGCGCTGGAATAACAAATGTGTGTCACCGTGACTGCTTTCCATGTGTGTTCTAGGGTTCAAATTCAGGAACTCTTTTCTTGTTAGGAAAACACTAACACGCTAGCCAGCCCCCCCTTAGCCCTTTCCTCTCTCTTTGAGGACCACAAAAGCAAATATAGCTGTACAAGCCTCCGTGGTTATGGTTGCCCAGCTCATCCTTATGGGTAACTAGAGGAGGCTGCCTTAGGGAACCCTCTGGAGTCGCCCATCTTCTCGGGGGAAGGATGGGCCGATGGTAACTGCCCTCAGCTGCACAGGCTTCACAATGGACTAGCCACTGGGCTATGCCCTCCCACCCACAAAGATGCAGGCATAATCACACCCATTTGTGAGATGGGAAGAGTGAGACTCAGAGAAGGGAAATGACGTTGCCCATACTCTTTCTCGGCGGGTGGGGCCAGTGAGAGCTGGATGGAACTGAGCCTCGAGTTCAAAGTGCCTGCCTCCCGTTCCTGTCCTCTTCCTAGCTCACTCCAGCTGTCTCACCAGTCAGAATTCCGCCCCAGTTCCACAGTCCCGCCTGTGGCTCCCATACCATCATCCTCTTCACCGTTGTCTCCTTTTCCCCTTTCATTTCCATCTTCTCTGGGTTCGTCTGGAAAGTGATTATGTCCTCTACCTTCAGGGCCGTGGAGGGCAGAAGCACTGAGTGAGCCTTTCACTGAGTCCTGCCCTCCATCTGGGCAGTACCCACAGCCTCTTTAACCACCCAGCACCAGCAGACCACCAAGGCTAGCTCTTCCCCAACCACCTAGTCCTGGCATTGGCCCATGTCTAGGTTTGGTTTCCTGTTGCTATGATAAAATACCCCAACAAAACCTGCCACAGTGGTGCACACCTTTAACCCCAGCACTCAGGAGGCAGAGGCAGGGGGGATCTCTGTGAGTTCAAGGTCATCTTGGTCTATACATAGTGAGTTCCAGGACACCCAGAGCTACGAAGGGAGACCCTGTCTCGGAAATTCCAAAGTAAACAAAAATGAATACCCTGAGAAAAGCAGCTTAAGGGAGAAAGGGTTTATTCTGACTCACAGTTCCAAGTACGGTTTCTTAGTAGTGGGGAAGTCACAGGAGAGAAGCTTTAGACTAGTAGTCACATGACATCCACAGTCAAGGAGCAGAGAGCAAGGAGTGCATGCAGTCGGGTGCTCAGCTCACTTTTTCCACTCCTGAGACAGTCCAGCAACCCTGCCTAGGGAATGGTTCTACCCACAGTGGGTGAGTATTTTTGACTCAACCAATGTAATCAAGATAACCCTTCACAGACATATACATATGATCTAAGCAATTTCTCTTTGAAACTCTCCTCCCAGGTGACTTGTTTGTTTGTTTGTTTTTGTTGGTTTTTTTTGAGACAGGGTTTCTCTGTGTAGCCCTGGCTGTCCTGGACTTGCTTTGTTAGACCAGACTGGCCTCAAAGTCCCTGCCTGCCTCTGCTTCCCCGAGTGCTGGGATTCCAGGCATGCACCACTGCACCTGGTCCCAGTGATTCTTGAATATAGCAAACTGACAAGACTAACTATTACGGCCCGAGAGAAGGGCCATGCCCCTGCAGGGGGTGTTTGGGTGGATGAAGACTAGTGAAAAATATTGATGGTGGGGGGGAAGGATGGCTCCTAAAGGCTGCATTTGGAGGACCAGACGTGAGGGGCTAATCAACTGGAGGAGAGCAGAAAGAGCCCCTATACCTCAACCTAAAATTCTACCATCAGCAACACTTTTTCTACGCCTTTTAGTAAGTTCCCATCATTTCAAGAAGATGAGATCGCATGAAACGAATAGCTTAGCTTTACAGAGAACAAAAACAAAAACAAAACAAAAAAAACAAAAACACCTTGCTCTGATTCAGAATATGGAAGGTTAATGGTGGCACAGGTTTTTCTCCACATAGCCCACCAGTGGAGAGAACCTCCTCCTGCTCTCTGGCTCATCTCACAAGTTGCTCTGGCCACCAAATTGTTCCTTTCTGGAACCCAGATGCCATGCTGGAAGGAAACCCAGGCTAAACTGAGGAGGAGCCTGGCAAGGAAGGGGTGATGGTGTTTTAGCCCACTCAGTGATCTATCTGTACAGTGCAGAGCAGGAGAGTCCCCCAAACTGAGCCCAGTCAAATCATGGTCAGAAGGTAACCCCTCAAATTCCCACCCCTCCCCCAGCACTGGATGGTACTGAGTGTCCCTGGGTTATTAATTGCAGTTTGGGAAGGAGGGGAGGATGCCAGTTTAGAATGGACAGTCAGAGACCACTGTTCACGTGAGCGGAAGTTTGGGCTGAATTCTGAACAACAAGGATAGAAGAAGAGGTCTGTTCCCCCAGGTTAAGATATCAGGTTTCTATTCTGTGCTCGGAATTGGGACTAGCACATGGCAGGGGCTTTGTCAAGCTTGCTGAATGGTGGCAGTGACAGCCTTCCCTGTAATGGCAATGACCTTGGGGCTGAAAGGGGCTCACTTCAACTTCGCCATGCCCGCTCTATAGATGGGGAGAGTGTCCTTGACTCCCAGATCCATCCCAACACATCCACGTTGGTATCAGGATCATGTTTGCCCCTACCAGCCTGGCCTTCTCTGCTGCACAGCCCACACCCAGGTTAGGCCTGATACTCAGTAAATCTACTTCTAGCCTTTCTGCCCCTTTCAGAGCCCCTCTCATATGTCACTCTGTTATTAAAGACTTTTATTTAGAACCTACTTTATGCCAAACACTGCTCTGCCTGCTGAAGGCTCAGCTATAAGACAAAGATTCCTGGGCTTATGGAAGACTCCAGTTGGAGAGACTGCTATGATTTGAATCTGAAAAGTCTCCCACATCCTCCTGTTTGGGCTACTGCATCCCCATCTGATGGTGTTATTCGAAGAGGCTGCAGCTCCTTTAGGAGGCAGGGTCTGAACTGGGGAAAGATGTCCTGGACATGGCCTACTTCCCGCCTCACTATCACTGCTTCCTGTTCAGTATCTGCTACATACTCCCTCTGTCACAAACTGAGCTGCTCCACCCTGCCTTCTCCACTGTGATGGTACCTGAAACCCTCTGAAACCATGAGCCAGAATGAGCCTTTCCTCCCTTACACCACTCGGTCAGGCATCACAGGGATGCAAACCAAACTAAGATGGAGGCGAATGAGCAACGCGAGGAGCTGGTGATGCCCAGTACATCAGAAAGCCCCGACTTCCCAGGAGGGAGAGGAGCTGCAGCCGAGGGGTGGACTGTGGTGACACAGATCTGTTGCCTCACGGCTCAGGAAGCAGAGACAGGAGGATTGCTACAAGCTTGATGCCAGCCTGTTCTACATATCAAACCAGCTAGGGCCACACACCAAGACTGTCGGAAAAGTGGAGGATATGGGGGGGCGGGGAGGGGAGAATGCAGGGGAAAGGGAGAGGAGGCCAGGAGGCCAGCATACCAAAGCTGTTCTGTTGTCATCATCTCTCTTCTCTGATCCACTGGCCTTTGCATCTTCTGAGGTTCCTGCAAGTCATGGGTTCAGTGAAAGAAGAGAGAGTAGAACATGGCATCCTCAGAGTGCTGTATCCCCATTTCTCCTCCCCTTGGCTTCCTCCAATCCTTACTCCCTCACTTGACCAACAAAGCTTGGGAAAATGTAAATCAGCGCGTGTCAGCACCACTGCCACCCAAAGCCTTCAAGGAAACTCCATGTCCTTAATCTTCCTGCCTGGTCAGTCTCCTTGTCCCCTTCCCCAGCTTTACCTCCCTCAGCCTCTCCTCCATCCCTGCCTCCGTCGACCCTGATCTCTGGGCAGGTGGTTTTCTCTACTCCAGCTACTGCTCCTTGCCTACACTCCCTAGCCATCACGTTTTCAGGCCTCACCTTCCCTGCCGCTCCTCACAGAGGCCTCTCCTGGCCTCCACGGTAAAAGGAAGCACATGTATCCCTTGAGAACAGCTTGTTCCTGTCCTTCAGGGTATATCCCATAGAGAAACACTTGTTACAGTAGCTAACTGCTGTTTTCCCAGCCCAAACCACTCACCCTTGCTTTGGGTGAAAGAGCATCTATCTTTCCTGTGGGTCCCTATTCCAAACTATTAGGTGAAACCTCGCCCATTCTCCTCTTCAAGGAGGGATGGGTGTGCAAGCCAAGCTTGACTAAGAGGAATGTGCCATCCCTCTAATACAGTGACAGGATCAGTGATGGGTACTTAGCTGAGGAGGGCCAACAAAAGCCTTCTGCTTAAGAAGACACTGGAGGAGAACAGATCTCTGCCGGAGGTTTGGGCCACCAGGGTCTGGGAGAGCTAGGACTCAAAAAGGATCTTGGCTGACCTTCCAGAGGCTGCTGGAGGGCTGAGCCACAGGGGAAGAGAACACAACTGGTACGAGACACTGGTTTCTAAATACTATTCTTCCCTGAAACCGACAAGGCCCCTGGGAGGAATGGCGGGATGAGCCTGGGATGTCTGATCCCAGGAAACAGAGAAGAGAGCTCAGAGGCAAATGGAGTATGTTGGAGGAAGAGGCATGCTTGCTCGGAGGAAGTTCTGCTGCTCAAAATAAGGAAATCTTATCAACGTAACTACTAATAGCAATGATAACTAACGATATAATGATGTTTATTAGCCCTTAAACAAACTAGGAAGCAGCACAAACAAATCCATAAATCGAAAGTTTGGGGAAGAGGGATAATTATGTGTTTTCAAAGCCCCTCACCACAAGGGAAAAACAACCCAGTGGAGAACCTCAGGCAGCCTGCTCATCAGGTGGGGGCGGACATCCGTCAAGATTCAGAACCATGAGCCGCCGAAGGGGGCGCAGTGAGAATGCCAGTCTGGCTGCCGTGCTATTTCTGCCAATGCTACAGGACCCGAATCTCATTATGAGGAACTGCATCCTAGGAAGAGCCAGCCCACAACCTTCATGCCTGAAGGAAATGAAAGGCAGGGAAGAGCAAGGACAGAACAGGCCAGACAGAATGTCGGTCAAGACTGTGACCTGGAACCCAAGCTAACAGTACAGTGCTGGGCGAGCAGGCCACACTTCAATAGGGTGTGAGAATTTGGTAGAGGGACGTATGAATATTAACGCCTTGTTTACGGCGGTTTTATATTTTGTGTTTGTTATTGTTAAAAGAAAATGTGATGAGAATTCAGGGTGATGGGCATCATTCAGCAGCTTACTAACAAGTGATCCAGGGAAAAGAAAGATTTTGATGATGTACTTTCCACTATTTGGTAAGCTTTTTTTTTTTTTTTTAATTGTTTAAAAAAAAAAAACGTTAAGGGGCTGGAGATGGCTTCTCAGAGAGTGCACCTGCTGAGTTCAGACCCTTAGCACCCACGCAAATGCAGGATGAGTACAATGGATTGCAGGTCATCCCAGGCTCAGAAGGCAGAGAGAGGACCCCTCGGTGGCTAGGTAGACCAGCTCGAGTGAGAGACCCTGATTCAATGAACAAGATAAAGAGCAATCAAGAAAGACTCCTGACGTCAGCCTCAGCCCTCAAAATGTGTGTTCACATGCAATGTGAACGGGCACACCCATACGCATTCACCACATATACATACCTATACAAAAACCAAAACCAAGCAAACAAACAAAAAAACATTTCTAGAGCTGGGGAGATGGTTCAGTTCATAAAGTGCCTGCTATACAAACATGAAGATCTGAGTTCGAATCGCCCCAACACACTAGCATGCACACCACGCATATACACACTCACATGAATATATGCATACAAACATACACACACAATATACACTTACCACATACATACAAATCACACACACATTTAGTCTGTGCCTACTCTATGACCACACTGTTCTAGGTGTACCTAATAAAAGTGAACAGAGTCAGGCACGGTAGCAAACGCCTGGAATCCCAGCACTCCATAGGCTAAGGCAGAAGAATCATGAGTTCCAAGCCAACCTCTGGGATATATAGCAAAATTCTGTCTAAATAAAAAAATCTCTTTCTCTCTCTCCTCTCTCTTTCTCTCTCCCCTCTGAGTAATAGAACCCCAGGTCTTGCACATGCCACTCAAGTATTCTATCACTTTTACATTAAAAAAAAATTTTTTTTTTTAACCAGGCATGATGGTTCATGCTCCTGATCCCAGCATTTGGTAGGCCTGAAGCAGGAGGATGGCTGAAATCTAAGACCAATCAACGCTACCAAATGAATTTCAGGTCACTCTGGGCTACGGAGTAAGACCCTGTCTTGGAGAAGAAGGGGAAGAGAAGGAGGGACAAAAGAAACAGGGAGAACACAAAAAGTGGGCAAAGGCTTTGGAATAGAAATTTCTCTGGAGAAAGCATAAAAATTATCCAGTCGGTGTACAAAAAGGCCCTCGACACCAGACGCTCCTCCACATCCTGGAAGTCAGCTGTTATTGTGGCTGCACTAGCTGGTTTTCTGTGTTACGTGACACAAGCTAGAGTCATCAGAGAGGAAGGAGCCTCAGTTAAGGAAGCGCCTCCATGAGCTCCAGCTGTAAGTCATTTTCTCAATTAGCAATCAATAAGGGAGGCCCCAGCCCATGGTGGGTGGTACCATCCCAGGACCGTAGTCCTGGGTCCTATAAGGAGGAGGCTGAGCAAGCCAGTAAGCAGCACCCCTCCATGGCCATCGCCTGGTGGAACACATCTTTGGTCCCAGCACTGAGGAGGCAGAGGCAGGGCATCTTTGTGAGTTCATGGCCAGCCTGGTCTACAGAGTGAGACCTTGAAAGGGGGGGGGGGAATCATATTACAGTTAAAGAAATTGACACCCAAGGAAGCTGAGTAGCTCCCAAGTCATACAGCTGGCCAAGGTGCTGACCAGAGCATGGTGATTAGCACTGTGCTGTGACTGCCATCTTGCCTCTCAGTTCTGAATACATAGTCCCTTCCAGGCTGTCTCCTCTCCCCTACTCACCTTCAGGGAGGCTTCGGAAGGCTGTGACACTCTGGAGGCCTTCCCACCTCCCCAGATTCTCCTCCAGGGGCATGGTGCGGATGCTGTTGTCCTCAGAATAGTCCCGCTGGCTGCTCAGGGTCAAGGTGGAGGTGTCACTCACCATGAAGCTGGAGTCCATGCTCAGGGACTCAGAGCCCAGGATCAGCGTCATGCAAGAAGATGGAGAGAGAGTGGAGTTGGGTGCTCGGGCACTCGAGTGCAGGCTGAGGACCTCGCTGGAGCCGGGAATCAGGCTGAGGTGTGAGGCCTGCCTGACTGTCACATTTAAACCAGACCTGGGCTGGCTGTTGGAAACTACATTGATGGACCCCTTGGAACCTGTGTTCCAGGGTATCCTCATGGCTTCTTTGGAAACAGATGCAAAAATAGTATGTGACGTTAGTGAGACGGCCTCACTTGGGTGTGGGACGATACCCAGGTTCACCTTGGAGGTGTTCTCAGAGCGCATGCGCTCCAAAGACGTGTTAGAGGGTAGAAGAAGAGGCACCTGGGAACCCTGCCTGGAGATGCTATGACTCCGGACCATGGCGTCTCTAGAAAGAGCCCTTACAAATAGGTTTGGCTCAGGCCTGGAAGGATTAGCGTTATTCTGACCCAAATCAAAAACCTTGCCTGAGAGGGACTTGGAGGCATCCTCAGAGCCTGGCCTAGGATTCTCTGGACTCAAAATAGTGGCCTGGGTAGAGCTGGGGCTTTTAACTGGTTGTGAGTCTGGGCAGAGAGTCCCTGCTGTGTCAGGCCTGGAGGTATGGTTCAAACTCTGGTCTGCGGTGTCCACAGAGCAGCTGTTGATCTGGATGGAGGATGAGGCCATGGCCACACTGGTGTTGGGGCTGGGGATGTCATTAGGCACTGGGCTAGGGTCCCCCTCTGGGTCAGGATTCAGAGCTGGATGAAAGACTGAAGTGAGAGCCAAGTCTTGTGCCGGGAGAGGAACAAGAGCCGGGTCTGGGGTAGGCCTAGACGTGGTGCTGGACATTATTCCTGGAACTTCACAGGAGTTGGGATTTGATGTCTTCTCTAGGTCTTCACGGAGAATGAGACTAGCTCCCTGACTCAGTGCCATGTCTAGCCTGGAGGCCTCTCAATGCCACTGTTCCTTCGCTCCAGTTGCTGACTGTGGGGTTCCCTGCAGCATTCCTGAGAGAGAAGAGGAGCACAGCCTGCTAGAACCCTGTCCTCTGGCCTCCTGTCATAGATGAGGGTCTCTGTTATCAGCCCCCCTTCCTAGCTCCATCACACCCCAGTCCCCTCTTCACAGTCTCCATCATGGATTTGACCTCCAGACCACATCCTGATCCCCCTTACCTCATGTTCTTTGGCTTGGTACCCCCCACTATCCCTTGCCAATCTGTTCTCCTACCAAAATACTTAGCACCCTTCGTTCACATGACTGACGGAGCCCTGTCAGAGGCAAGTTCTAGGTGTCAGGAGCTGCCGTTATTCTAGCTAGACATGATGGATCACACCTGAAACCCCACATCTGGGAGGCTGAGGTAGGAGGCTAATTCAAGCCCAGCCTGGGCTGTCAAGTAAGATCCTGTCTCCAAAAATGTAAGTAAGAAAGAAAGAACAAGGATAAAAGGATGGGAAGGGGAAGAGGAAATGGAGAAAGAAAGAGGAGAAAGGGGGAGGAGGAAACTGAGAGGATCCTCGACCTTGAAGCATCTCTAACTCCCAGATGGTGCCAAGCATTCAAGGCAGTCTCTAAACAGGCAAATGAGACTTAAATGTTGAAAGAGAATAAGGTGCTTTGTTACCTTATTCTTAGCCAATCCCATGTGACCTCAGTTCACCAACAAGAACCCTGAGTCTTAGGACAAACACCTAAGTCATTGAAACTGCTCTGCCTGTGGTCACAGCCCAGAGTCTCAAAGGCCCCTTGGCAAAAGAGCACACAGCAGTTACGGAAATGGAACCTACTCACCCGGCAATCTAACTGTGGGTGGGCTCCCCAATCCTCTGCCACCTGACCCGACCTCTGGGCCCCCTCCCCCATAAAATCTATAGGAGCAGCTCACCTGCCAGCATGCTGTTCTTAAGCAGCAGGACCCTGGGAAGGGAAGACATACAAAGGAATCAAGTCAGGGCAAGAGAGACTGGGACCATCTCTATGCCACCCACCCTCTGGCTAAACTCATCTTCGGTTTCACAGTCCCATTTGTTAGCAGACCCTAAAGCACTCTTCTGTATCAGCCTGCACAGCCCTCCCTAACCCCCCTAAAATCCTCCTCTCCTCCCGCTCCACCTTTGTAGGTCTGGGCCTTCCACAGACTGAGATCCCCTCTTCCGTTTTCCTACCCCAGCCACCACTTAAATCTTCACCCCCTGTAGGTTCCCTAAACAGGTGAAGGCCACCCGAAAGCTCTCAGAGCTGGTGGCTTCCCCTTTCCTGGCACACACATCTGGCGTCCCTGCTAGGCAAGAAACCCGATGCCAGCAGAAACTGCCTCTGCCTTGCTCACTGCTCATCTCCGTCACGTCCGGCATAGCACCTACACACAGGAAGCACTCAGTAATGGTTGGGTTCCCGGTTTTACCTTCTTCAGTGTTGTTTGGCTCACCTGTTCCTTCATTAGCTCTCTTTCTTTCCCATTCCCTTCTTATTCACTCATGTACAGGTTCCCTGAGTCAGGTTCCCACCAACCTGAATCTAGATGGGTTGGCCCTGAAGAGGCAGACTCCTGATGTCATGTAGCCCCAAGTTCATAGATCAGCTCATCTTACTAGTGTGGGGGAAAGAACCTGGACAGGAGACTTTTCCCCACTAGCCCTGTGCTCTTCAGTAGCTCCCTGTCTTTAGAGACATTGCCCTTACGGTGTCTGGCAGGGAGTGTAAGCCTGCAGGAGGCTTTTTGTTATCCTTGTTATCCTTCTGTTAGAGGCTGTGGCAAAGAGCAGTCAGGACCTTGCTGCCAGGGGGAGCCATGTGCATTCCTAATACCTGGTGGCTGCAAAGTCGGAAGAGTAGCCTTACCATTGCCTCCAAAATCTATTTCACCCGTAGCCAAGGACTGGAAAATGTTGGGGCTCCTTGATTTTGAGTCCTTTGCCAAAGCACCTGCTCTTAATTTTGTACTCATAATTTTTCCTCCTTTTACTTGTAAAAGGACCTACATTTGATTTTTTTTTCTCATGTACACAGGTGCTTGCACATGCCCTGACTTATCACACACACACACAGAGAGAGAGAGAGAGAGAGAGAGAGAGAGAGAGTTATCGAAGGGAGTAATATAGACTGGCATGGGCTGTGAGGCAGTGAACAGAGCTTGGGCCTGCCAGCTAGTCTCAAGCCTAGCTTTCCCTCCCTTTTCCACAGGACAGGTTGACAGGACTTCTCAACTCTCCCTGACATCTTCCTGCTCCCTCAGCCCTCCTCTTCCATCCTGCCACAGGGGGGGGCCAAGTCTTCAGAGAGTCCTAAAAGTATGAGGCAACTCATGGCTTGCCCTCCACCACATGGGTATTGCTCATTAAGAGGAGTGGAGGGGGGCAGGGCGCAGTGGCCCATGCCTTTAATCCTGTATTTAAGCCAGCCTGGGTTACACAAGGCCTCTCTTTTCAAAAACAAACACAGTGTCTGTGTTTAACATCCATATTTTGATGAGTTTGGACATACACACATATATATCTGAAATACCATTTTCACAAAGTATGAAACACATCCCTCTGGAATGTTCCTGTTTTGGTGGTCTTTATACGAGTGTGATACTGTGTAAGAACATTTAACAAAGAGCTGGGTGTGCTAAAGCACACCTATCATCCCAGAATAGTAAACTGAGGCAGGGTAATGATCATGAGTTCAAGGCCAGCCTGGAATACCCAGTGACTCCCAAGATAGGCTGGGCTACACAGGAAGAGCTGTCTAAAAAAAAAAACAAACAAAACTTAATAGAAGATCTAGCCTCTTAGAGCTGGGTGTAATGGCAGAACACTACGATTCTGATTCTGACGTTCAGGAGGATGAGAACAGAGATTGCAGGTTCAAAGCCAGCCTGGGCTACTGAGTAAGACCTTGTTGCAAACAACAAGGTCAGGCATGGTGGCTCACACCTATATTCAGAAGACAGGAGCAGGAGAAGAACTGGGAGTTTAAGTCCTGCCTAAATTCCGTAATGAATTCCAGCCTAGCTGTGATAGAGAGTAGGACCCTATCTCAACCCAAAAAATAAAATACATTGTGCATCTCTAAGCATGTGTTCTTCTGGTATCACCAAAAACACACTCTCTGAGCAGTGACTCCTATTTCCTCCTCTCCCCAATAACCAAATTTTGACAGGCTTGTCTGAGGGACACAGTACAGTAGAGACAGAAGACAGAATCCCAAACTCAGGGACAAATCACTAAGGTCCACCTAATCCATCGAGGCGTGGCCATGCACTGCAGCACAGAGGAACAGGAGAACAAAGGGTCCAGACTGTCGCCGCCCTCTGACACATAGCAAGTTCCTGAACTGCATGCCTCAGAAACAAAACAAAAAGTAAATGAATTTTAAGAAATAACAAATCACAATCCCAGAGGCTGGGAACTGGAGAGAAGATGGCTCCACATCTCAGAGCTCTGACTGCTCTTGCAGAGGACCCATATTTCTTGCCCAGCACAACATGGCAGCTCACAACCATCTGTAACTCCAATTCCAGGAGCTCCAACTCCCCTCCTGCAGCCTCCACGGGCACCAGAGAGGCCCCTGGTAAACTTATATGCATGCAGCTCAAACACACATACATATGAAATAAAAACGAATAAACCCAGTGGTGCATACCTGATGCTCAGGAGACAAAGGCAGGCAGAGCTCAGTGAGTTTGGAGCTAGCCTTGTCTACATAGAGAGTTCCAGACCAGCTAGGAATGCATAGTGAGATCTTTTCTAAATAAGTAAACAATAAGTAAATAAATCTACTAAAAATATATATAAAATGAAAACGCAGTTAACATGAGCAACAGGGGAAGATAGATTCTTGAGGACAAAGTATTTAGCATCCTACACTTAGAGTCTCAGAAGGAGAAAAGAGTGTTGAAAAGCATTGCATCCAAAAGTGGGGCTGGAGAGACGGCTCAGCGGTTAAGAGCACTGCCTGCTCTTCTAGAGGTCCTGTAGTTCAATTCCCGGCAACCACGTGGTGCCTGTATACATGCGGTCAGAGCACTCATATACCTAAAATAGTAAGTAAATAAATATAAAAAAGAAAAGCATTCGAAGTAATAATGTCTGAAAACATTCCAGATTAAAAAAAAAAAAAATACAAGCACATGGGTTCAGAAAAAGAGAACAAACCTGGGGTAAGCCGCACGCCAACAACACTAAGGACAACCACCAAAAGAGTGTTGTTTTGTTTTGTTTTGTTTTGTTTTGTTTTGTTTTTTTTAGTGCTTGGTTAACTGGTTTTGTTTTTCTGAGACAGGGTTTCACTATATAACCCAGGCTGCCTTTAAAACTGTTATATATCCTAGACTGGCCTTAAACTTGGCGATCCTCGTGCCTGAGCACCTGAGGGGGTTGGACTGAAGGCATGCACCACCCTGCCCAGCCACAATTAAAAAAAAAAGTCTTGGTAGCAACCAGAGAGCATTACCTAAGGATGAACAGTGATTTGAATGACAGCACACAGGTCTCTGGGTTTCTTTTAGCCAGGCCCTCAGGCCACAGGTAGTTCCCTCCATCTCTTCGGCCACATCCATCCCCTGCCCTGGCCTTGAACCTGCTTTTCAACCATTCCCAGTTTCTCTGGTGTCTCAGATTATGCTGGGTTCTCTCTTGCAATAGAGACTTTCAAAGTCTTTCCCCTTCCTTCGAACTTCCCCCAGCTACCCACTTCCCCTTCAAGCCCTTCATCTGGCTCACGCCTCATACAGCCACATTTCAGACCAGTTTTGATGCCTCCCTCTCCAAGGAAATCTTCCTGAGATCCCAAATGCTGTTGAGGGTTCCCCTTCCTGTCATCAGTCCCTCCATGTTAGTGGACCATTCCGTTTTCCTATGTCTCCATCCTGGAGAATGAACTGAGTATCTGTTTATCTTTCCCTCCTGTTCTTCCAGAACAAAACACAGTGCCTGGCACAGAGCAGG